ACCAATATAATACTATTGGATATACGATGTTTTTTCTATAAATTTACTAGAATTTTAGAAAATAGGGAATAAAGGTACCGAAAATATATTATTATTAGAATTAGTGCAAAAATAAAAAAAATAAAAGGTAAAAAAAGTAATTAATTATAAAAAGAACGGGATAGAATAAAATTTTATAATTAAATAAGTAGGTTAGCCCGTCGAATATAATATTTAGGAACCGGAAAAGTACTTTTCTAACGCGTAAAAAATATTTTCTAAATATTAAAAAATTAAATAGAAGTATTATAAGAAATAGGATAATTAAATTAGTAATATAAAAAATAAATTTAATTACTCTAAAAAGAAAATTACTTCCTGAACGATATTAAAAATCTGTAATAATTGTAATAGACCGGTAATTTATATACAAATTAAAATAGGAAATTAAAGGATTACTAAAGAGGAAATTTGAAAAGTTGGTAATTAACGAAGGAATATATTTAAATATAAAATATAATTAAATAAATTTATCCCAAGAAACCCAACCCCTATTTATATTTTTTAAAAGGATTACTTATAATTATTTAACCCGAAATATTATATTTATAAAGGGAATGCTAATAAGCCGCCGGAGGGGTAAGCTTAGGAATTAAAATACTTATAATATAGTTAATATAAGCGGTTAATATAGTAAGTTCAAAGCGAATATTTATAAAAACTTTACGGAGGGCGACCGCCGATTCGCTAGTACGCGGGTAATAATAAATTTTAAAAAAGGCCGAAACCGTAAGGGCTTTAAATTTAATAGATAAAAAGAATATTTCCTTACCTTCATTTTTTTTAATAATAATAGAACGCTAACTAATAAGGACCTCCTTACTTTTACTTTTCTTAATAATAGTAGGACGACGGCCAATAAAAGTAAAATTACTAATTCGGTTAGGAAAATTATAGCGGAAAATAGTAAGCAAATAAGGCTCGGAAAAAATAAAGGAAATTAATAGAAAGGTATTAATAAACTTATAAATTAAGGAAACTACTAATTTAATATAGGCCGAAGAGGGCTTTCTATATAAAATTTTAAGATTCTCCAATTTGACGCCAATAGGAGCTGTTAAAAAATATTAAAAATTTCTGAATAAAATATTAAAACAATTATTATTTTTAATAAATATAATAAATTAATCTTAAAGAATATAAATATAACTTATAATTTCAAACTCTTTAAAATCGGTAAAAAAGGAGCGACGGAGTGCCGTAGTAGGTAAACTCTCTATAAATTAACGAACCGCCTCCGAAGGAAATACTTCTTGAACGACGGGATAGACTTTTATAATAGGTTTAATTAGGGGTAAAATCGTCGGAATAAAAAGTATAATTATAATTAAAAAGTAATAAAAGGCCCGATTTTAAATAAAGAATTATAAATTCGAACTACGAAAGTTAAAATTAAGGGATTTCTCATACGAAATAATTTATATAAATAATTGAATAAGCTAAATTCTTAAAAAAGGGTATTAAAAAATTAAGGATTATTGAAAGGGAAACGATTATATAAAACGTAAAAGTAATTACCGTAAAAACCCCCAACGTTATATTAGTAAAATTTATATCCTTGCTCTATTTTAAGGGTAAAATCTATTTTTAAAATTCTATAAAAGGAAAAAGGATGCAATTAAAAGGATAGTCGATAAAAGAATTTAAAACGACGGGACTACGCTATTTACTGGGCGAAAAACCGCTTCTTTCTAAATAAAATTATAAATTTCTATAAATAGAAATAAAGACTTCTTGATTTTTAAAATTAAAGGGATTTCTAAAGTAAGAAGGGCCTAATTTAAAAAAAAAAGATTTAAAACTAATTAACCGAAGGGTAATTTAAAAGTATTAATTTATTAATATAAAAGCGTAGAAATAATAGGAACGTTACTTAAAAAATTTTAATAATAAAAATGCTGGTTACTATTACTACTGAAGGATATATTAATAGGAAGCTAAGGTATATTACCTATATAATATAAAGACGTAAAGTCGCTATTAATAGGAATTTTATTACCTTTTTAAATAGAAGGAAAATTATAATTAAGGGTCGGCGTAGTATTATGCTTATTGAAAAAAGTAGAAGAAAATTTCGAAAAAAAACGACGGGAGAATTCGGTCTTTTAAATACTGTTGAAAAAGAGGATATTTAATTCTATATAATCTGTAGAACTATTGGAATTATTGTTGGAATTAGAACATAACTTAGAATGAGAAGACGGTTTGGAATTAAAAGAATTAGAGGAATTAGAACGTTCGAAAAATTTAAAAGAATAGTCAAATTCGCTATCTTCGAAAATAAGACCGACCGCTGAATTTCCGTTGATAAAAAATTTTGCTTCGCTATCGGATTTGTCCTCGTCCATAAAGGGGCAAGGTTTATTAATATTTATATCCTCTATAAATTTTTTATAATTAAAATTAAAAATTTCTAAAATAGTAACGTTATTGTAAATTTATTAAAAATAGAAACGAATAAATTCGTTACTAATTATATAGGGAATAAATAAAATAAATTAAAAATAATTTTCCGCATAATAGATTAAAAAAAGTAAAGGATCGTTAAGGCGAATTATTAACGATTAATAACCGTTATCGTTACCTTTATTATTAAAAATATAAAAATAAGTATTGAAACTAAGTAAATAAATATATTAAAAAATAGTATAGGACGGACGATATAAAAATTTGTATTAACGCGTAAATTAAATTAAGGGTAACGGAATTCGATACTATTCTTTAAATTCTAATAAACAATAATTGAGGTAAGTATATAAGCCGGAAAGGGGCCGCTAATAAACTTCTACGACCTTTTCCAAAATTTATACTAATAATCCGTAAATTCGTAAATATATTAAATAATAAATTAATTTAATACTATTATAATAGCGATCAAGATATTTAAAGCCTATTCAATAATAAGGAAATAACCAGCGGTTTAAATTACAGTATTAATATATTAACCGGGGTTGAAATTAACTCCGGGATTTAAATTAAAATAAAAATAATTAATAATTATAGTGGTTAAACGATGGAAATTATAGACCTCCTCTACAATTTAACTAATAATAATATTCTTACCCTAAACGGAGGTATATTCCTTAAAAAGTTTTTCTAATCGATTACAAAACGCTAATACTAAATGCTTCACTTTAAAAATATTAAAACTGATATAATTATTAATACCAGTCTTAACTGAAAAATCGCCGGCATCGGTACCTATATAAAGCTAAATATATTTTAAAATACCTAAAATATAATATTTGTAAGGGATTTAAATTACCGAAGGTTAACTGATAAAATAAATTAAAAATAAAGAAAGAATAATTTATAAGGTAATAAATTTATTTTTATATCTAATAACGTATATAATTATTACTAGAATCCTCAATTTAGTAATAGTAAAGGAATAATAAATTAAAGTAAATAATTACCGAATATTAATTATAAAGGATATTTTCGCCGTCCTAAAAAGTAAATTAACGCTAACGTATCGCCAATAAATTAAAGGATCTAGTAAAAAAATATTTATGAAATACTAAATAAATAGAAAACCCTTAGTAGGATTATAAAAGTACCGACGAAGAATATATTCGGTTTAAATAATTAGGAAGCCAGTAATCTTAGGAAATTCGGTATTAAAAGGCGCCGTAAGATCGCCATTAAATTAGCGCTCTTATACGGGAATAAATTAATTTATATTAATTATAATTATAATATCATTATTAAAGGAAAGAAAAAAGTAAAGGAGAGGAAAGAATTCTCTAATTTTAGAAAAGGAAAAAACGAGTAGTAAATAATTACTTTCTAGCGTAAATAACTATAGCGGGTAAGCGTTTAGAAGGCTAGGCGTTGCTAGAGGAGAATAACGTAATATAATAAACGTATTTATAAAATAACGAATAAAGGCGAAGGGTCGCTAACGAAGGATTTACTTATATTGCGTTAAAGTGTAACAAATTAAAATTTAGGCTATACTTCGAAGCCGGGAAGTACGGCCAAATTACAAAGGACTATAGCTATTAGAAGGAGGGATAATTATAAAGTTATTATATTAAAGGGCCTAAAAACTAAGCCCGCAGAGTGGAACGTTATAACGAACCAATAAGAGTAATAAAGTAGGACGAAGGGGCCGTTATAATAAGTAATAGAATAGGTGTAATAATAATAGAAGCGTACGGTCAGAGGCTAGGCGCCGGATCCTGGGCCTACCACGGGTTCGCGTATAAAATAAAAACCCTTATAGCCTGGCCGGACATTCTCTACTAGCCAGGCTAAAATTTACCTTTTAGAATAGACCTACTATCGTATGCTGAACGTATTCTCACCCTATCGTACTATGACCTTACAAGAAGATATTTACAATTTAACTAGAAAAATCGACGTACTAAAAGAAATACTCTATAAATAGCTTTACTTTTACCCTATTTTAAGAAGGTCTATAAATAAAAGGGTATATTAGAATAGAGGGTAGATGTCTAGGATTCTTGTTAAATTCTATATAGGTTAGCTGCCTAGCCCCCTAATATTACCTGATTTTTGGGCATATCTAGGTTACCCTAGCACCCCCTATACCCTCTATTGCACACGGCTCGAGTCAGTCACACACACTCTTCAATCAATCAATTCTGCACGGTCACATCTGACACATATCGTGAGCCTCACCTGCGACAGCTCCACTTGGCGACTCGGTTACGGTAGGCGGGGGTGTCGCGCAGGGACAGGGAGGCCTGTTACTTGTCTAACACCACAAGCTGTAATTAGCACCAAATTCAGATAAGTGCATATCATAAGCTGTCCTTACCTCGACGCGACCACGCACCCTGACAATTGACGCTCTAAAGTTCGTAAACCCCAACGGTAGAGGTATCAAATCACACCAAATATGTACCAGTCACGTCCAAAATTGGGAGAGCAGTATGGTCTGGTCTTTATTCGCGAAATATGCTGCGCAGATGCAAAGCACAAACGACGGTGAGATCTGACGATGGTGGACTGTCTGACGCGCAGGTGACGTCGAGGTGACAGAGGAGTCAAGATGCGGCATCGCAGACAGCTTCATGAGATGTGTTGATGATGTTCCTTCTCATCAGCCCGTGTCCCTTTGATGGAAAGGTAGGTAACCGTGACGGGAACTCTCATAAACGCGTATCGAGTATTGCGCGAACTCCAGCACCATGGCGACCGAAAGCGAGAAGCCGACCATGTCCCATTCCACCCCATGGGAGGTGAGGGTACAGGACCGTCCTGGTTCCAGCGTGGAAGAAGTGAATCGCGAACCGGATTGGGAGGCCAACCATTCGCACCGGATTGGATTCGTCAATCGAGATGACCGGCGTCCGGGACTCACGCACCCACGCGAAGAATATGCTGAAGAGATCGAGGAGGCCCGGAAACAGCTGGAGGAAATGAGGAGCAAGGTCGACATGGGCGAATTGGTCAACTTTCGCGATATCATCCAGTCCCAGCGAGACTTCCACATCAAGTATCCCGAGGAGAGGCCGCTGGGTTGGCGATATGTGTTGAACACGACCGAGGATTGGGTCAAGAACAAAGAACAGTGGCCTGCAAACATGCAGCAACACCAGAAGCAGGAGCAGGATCTGGCCAAGACCAAGACCAAGCAGCAGGACAAGCGGGAGACAGGCGGAGGAAAGTGCCCTCAGGCAGGTCAGGCGGTGTTGCGGGAAAGCATGCCCGAGTTTGAGTGGAGAGCCGATAACAACCTGAAGGAGAAACACCAGGAAGCACGCCATATCGACCGGGCCACCTCCGAGTCCAGAGGGAAAGAGCGCGGGCATGAGGGTGGGAAGGAACAAACTGGCAGCCCCAACGTCCACTTTACCCCGCAGGAACTCTCTCTCCTCCACAGCCTCGAGCACGAGAAAGACGTCGTTTCCCAATTGAAGCAGAACGATGGCAAGGGCAAGTCTCCCCAAACCCACAACCGCTCCTCCATCGCCATCGACGAGCAAGACCAGTATACCCCCGACAACTGGCTCCCACGATGTCCCGATCTCATCCGCATCGGCGGCAAGCACCCCATGAACGCCGAACCCCCCCTCTCCCGCCTGTTTGACGGCGGCCTGATCACCCCCAACGAGCTGCACTACGTACGCAACCACGGCCCCGTCCCGCGCCTGATGTGGGAGTTCCACAAGCTCGACATCGAATATGGCGGCAGAAAGCTCTCGCTGAGCATGAACGAGCTCAAGAACCGCTACCGCGAGTCCGTCATCAACATCCCCATCACCATGGCCTGCACTGGCAATAGACGCAAGGAGCTGAACCTGATTCGCAAGAGCAAGGGCTTGAATAACGGCGCTGCGACAGTGGGCACGGCGTACTGGAAGGGACCCCTCCTCCGCGATGTCTTGATATCCGCCGGGGTGCCCAAGGCCTTTGCCAGGAGAAAGAACCTCAAGACAAGGGGCATGAGACACTGGGTCAACTTTGCCGGTGCAGATATGCCGAGCGAGGGCCCCTACGAGACCTCCATCCCGTTCGACTACGTCATGGATCCCGCCAACGACGTGATTCTCGCCATGGAGATGAACGATCTTCCTCTTCCTGCCGACTACGGATACCCCGTCCGAGTCATGATCCCGGGCTACATCGGTGGACGATGTGTCAAGTGGCTTCGTCGAGTATGGATTTCCTCCGAGGAAAACAAGAGCTACTACCATACTTGGGACAATAGGCTTATGCCCTCCTTCGTCACCGAGAAGGATGGTAGGTTTGCAGAGGCCCTGTTTCACAATCCCAGCACCGCCTGTTATGAAAACAACCTCAACTCGGTCATCGCCAAGCCTGCCCAGGGGGAGACCCTAGCTCTGAGCGATATTAAGAGTGGCAAGAGTTACCGTATCGCTGGATTTGCATACGATGGCGGTGGCCGCGAGGTGCAGAGAGTCGAAGTCTCCCTCGACGGTGGTGAGAACTGGCTACACGCCACTCGCGAATTTCCCAATTCACCCCTTCGACATGGAAACAAGTTCTGGGCTTGGATCCACTGGCACCTCGACGTCGACATCTCACATCTCGTCCGAGCCAAGAGCATCACAGTCCGCGCCTTCAACGCGTCCAAAACGACACAGCCAGAGAAGCCAACATGGAATCTCCTGGGCATGATGAATAATTCCTGGTACATTGTCAAGCCCGAAATCATCACGTCCGTTGGTCAAGGGCCCGCTATTTCTTTCCGTCATCCGACCGAGGCTGGCCCTACCGCTGGTGGGTGGATGAAGCCGTCGATGGAAGTGCTAATGCAAGAGGCCAAGCATCAGGGAGGCGCACCGGAAAAGCAGTTTACCCGTGGGGAGATTGAGAAACACAACAAGTATGAAGACTGCTGGCTAGTCATCGACAACAAGGTGTACGACGCTACTAGCGTTCTGAACTGGCATCCTGGTGGTAGAGCCGCCATCTTAGCGCATGCAGGCAAGTGTCACCAAGAGACCACGAACGAGTTCGTCAGCATCCACGATGACCTTGCTTGGAAGAAGCTACATGGTATGTTCTTTGGCCACTTACGTGATCGAACTGATATCTTGTTAGGAGTATGAACTGACCATAATCGTGATCCGCAGAATGCATCCTCGGCCGCGTTACCGACAAGACCGCCAAGTTCATCAGAGAGAGCGCGGAAGCAGCAGCAAAGGAGGAAGCAGAGCAATCCCAAGACCAGAAAAATCTTGCCCTTCAAAGACGACGCTGGGTTCCCGTCAAGCTCATCAACAGACGGCAAGTCTCACCCGATACAAACACATATACCTTCCGGCTTCCCGAAGGAAAGGCTGTTCTCGGCCTGGGTACCTGCCAGCACCTCCAGATAGGCTTCCACCTCCGAGACAAGATGCTTATCCGGCAATACACTCCCACTCGACCACTCCTACCAGCCCAAGACAGTCAGGGTCATGGTGACGAATTTTCGGAAAAACACGATCACAAGCCCCCGAAGCATCATGTACACACCGGCGCCCATCGCCATCAAGACAAGCAGCGCGCTTCTCGACAATCCGAGGTCACGGAAGAAGCAACCAACTGTTCTCTAATGGACGGCCAGTCTGGAACATTTGACTTGACGGTAAAGACCTATTTCCCTTCCCCCTCGCAACCAGGCGGCGCACTATCCAATATCCTTGACTGCCTTCCCCTCGGCTCTGAAGTTGAGATCCGTGGGCCAACAGGTGACATCATCTACCACGGAAACGGCCACTTCTCCATCGAGGGCCGCGACCGACACTTTTCTCGCGTGTCTCTCGTGCTGGGCGGGAGCGGTATTACGCCTGGCTACGCATTGATGGCCAGAATTCTCATGACACCGGGTGACCGGACTGAGATCAGGGTTGTCGACGCAAACAGAACAGAACAAGACATCCTCCTAAAACAGGAACTGGACAACCTCGAGAAGAAGAGCGGTGGGCAGATGAAGATTTGCCATGTCTTGAGCCAAGCTGGGGAAAGCTGGGAGGGTGAGAGGGGAAAAGTTGATGCGGGGATGCTCAAGCGAAGCCTGTTCAAACCAGCGCGTGACAACGTAGCACTGCTGTGTGGGCCGCCGGGGTTGATTCAGGGGGTTGTGCTGCCGGCGTTGATAGGTATGTCTCCGAGGCCATTTACATTGCTTGAAAACCCGTTGTGGCTCGGTGTTCCGTCATGTTCTCCATTGCGGCACTGTCACGTTCTGCTTTTGCGGCCCCGTCAAGCTTTCCGCTAACTACTTGTAGGATGGGGATATATTGAAGACCAAAGCCTTTTTGGGTTCTAAGCAAACACTGACCGGCCGGGAACAGTCCTCTTTGTGTCACTTTCTTCTTGACGGATCAGGTCTGCCCAATACGGTTTGAATCTGGCTCGGACTGATGACAGGTCGCAGGAACTATTGTTGTCCAGCCTGTGTACGTCAGGATTTCAGCCAATGGTAATTCATGCAATCCAAACCCACTGTTTTTGTACCTCAAGCTACTTCGAGAGACTAACATCAAGACCATGCTGTAACTGCTTGATTTGAGGCAATCACCGTTAGCCAGAAAGATACCGACGCGACGAATCCCAAGGGGAAGCTCAATGGCCGACAACCCAAAGGAAGGGATCGATGTTGCCTTCCAAGCTTGGCCGCTCCTAAAAAAGAAATATAGGAGGGCAGGAGGGGTAATTGGTGTCGAAATATCATATATACTGGACCGCTGCCACTTGAAAGCAAAAAGTACCGAACCCGACCAACTTCCTCCGTTACCTACACCATCTGAGTTCGAAAGCCAACGCATTTTCCCGTCATGCGTTCTCCCGCAGAGAAGGCACAGTCACCTGTACCTGAGGCGAAGTCGCCCACACCCGGTGCTGCATCGCCGGCGCCGGCCCAATCTGACGAGCCGACCGACCTGTTGTCTGGCGCGCATTGGGGCGAGCTGGTCTGTAACTCCCATAGCGACACGAGCCCGCATGTATATGGTTTTCGATGTCTTGTTGCTGACATTAATCTTTACGGTACAGGAGATACCTGACGACAACGACTCCACTCTAGGTAGTGATGTTGAGAGCTCATCGGCCTCGATCTCTTCTAGTATCTTGCAATACCGTACGATCAGTGGCAGGACATATCATAGCGACTCTGTGACTGATTCAGAGTATTGGTATGTCGGTCTTGGCAATAGTTTGGTCAGGGATAATATGGAGAATTGAAGCTAATCGCAGCCCTCTGATCTAGGGGTCCAAATGACGAGAAAGCGAATGACGTCTTGGATATCTTCCACCACGTCATGACGCTATTGTTAGATGAGAAATTATATACAGCCCCGCTCTCCAAGAACATCGAGAATGCCCTGGATGTCGGCACCGGCACCGGTAAGCGCCTCCATCTACTCGTCAGGGCTCAAATCGCATTCTTCCCCTCCCCGTAACGTTCCCCCTGAAGACTATCCTGCACGGGCTGTGTAAAACGACATCTGCGGTTCTGGAACGTTTGCTAACTGAGATTTACATACAGGGCTTTGGGCAATGTAAGACCAAGTTCTGGACTCTTAAATTTTCGCCTTGGATGACTAACAATCCCCCTCCCTCGCACTTACAGTGATTTCGCAGATGAATTTCCCAACTGTCGTGTAATCGGTACCGATATCTCGCCCATTCAGCCGAGCTGGGTACCCCCTAACCTCAGCTTCAATATCGACGATGCGACTAGGGAATGGACATATCAGCCTGATTTCTTTGACTACATCCATATTCGGTGGCTCTTCGGTACAGTTAAGGACTGGGCGTCCTTGTACAAGGAAGCGTACAGGTGCACCAAGCCGGGTGGTTGGATCGAGCATATCGAATGCGACGTCAACGTGGTATGCCTCGACGGCACCATGCCCGAGGAATCCGCTGTGAATCAATGGGGAAAGATTTGGACCGAAGTTCAAAGGAAGACTGGAAGTGTATTCAACATGGTCAAATCCGGCATTATGGAGAATGGAATCAAGGAAGCGGGCTTTACCAACGTCCAAATCGAGGATTACCTGGTAAGTTTCATGCCAATCTGTTGAAGCCGTAAGGTTGAGACTGGACGAAAAGGTGGCCATGGATTGAAGGAGGTGGTCAGTCAGAACGACTGGCCAGACTACGAGATCCATCTGCCGAATGAAGGACAGGCGGAAGTCCTTGCCACAAAGAACCCACGCCTGTCGGGCAAACAGCAGTGTCAACACAATGTATGTGCACGAGACCCACCGAGACTGACTTTCAACCTTTTAGGCTCCGACCGGTCCTTGGCCTACAGACGAAAAGGAGAAGCAGATCGGCCTCTTCAACTACGTCTTTTTAACGCAAGACATTGAGGGCTTCATCACCTACTTCCTCAGCCAGGTGATGGGGTGGACTGACAAGGAGATGGCAAACTACGCCACTTCTATTCGGCGGGAGTACAAGGAGGGCAAGATCCATAGCTATATCAAGTGGCGCGTAGTTCGTGCCCAGAAGCCGTTGGACGCCTGAAGTGGATGGTAGATAACGGTAGTAGGGCGGGTGCGCGTTGGTGAAATGTGCAGGGCACATGGCGGATCGGGCATACGCAGTACATGTATCTCTTCCTTGCGTGAGGTCTTCAGTATCAATGTCTTTATCACGATCGTCGTCCAGCGTCATCGGTCCCTTTTCGTGGTTTGTCCGGAGTTTGGTCCGGTCCGCTTGATGAACAAGGTTCACCGCTGTTCCTTCAGCCTTACCCGTGCCGCACATGCGATACCCGTCCACACGCCTTTCCTCTGATGTTGCTGACAGCCACTGCAACCGCTGAGCAATTGGACAGGCGCCACGCGACCAGAGATCGGATGGAAGACATTCGATGTTCCTTATCCTTATCGGTAGCCCGGTACACCGTATATAAACCAGTCCACAGGGCTTGGTGGAATTTCCTGGACTTCTTCCCCTTGCATCTTCAATCTGGCAACCCACATCTCCAGTCCCTTTGCCGGACAATCATTTTCAACACAATCCACATACCCAGGGGTAGCCATTGGTTGCACTGCATATAAGGGGTCTGCCGAGGTTCTGCCGAGGTTACATGTGGTCGCAGCTGTCGCTGGCATGTTTGCAGCCAATTGTGAATTGCCAAATTCACTGCTGTGGAACACCCCGTTTGTATCATCGACAGGCCTCGACGAGATTTTGATCTTGGCTCAGGCCATATTCAAAGGATCAATGTTACCTTTACGCTTGGCTCGTTGACCGCTCCTGGCTCACAAGGGACTATGGGCTCAGCGAGGGGGCAACCGTTCATATATCTGCTGGATTGCTGTCACTCGGAGGACGAAAAACCACGCACAATCGAGATTTCATTACTCGGAGGCTGAGCTCAAAACCAAACACAGTCTTCAGTCATGATTTCTCCTACCAACAAGGCACAATCACCTGAACCTGAGGCGAAATTGCCGAAAGGAAAGGAAAAGTCGCCCACTCCTGGTCCCGCGGGTGAACCCTCAGAGCCCGTTGGCCTCCTATCCGGCTCGCATTGGGCCGAACAGGTTCGTTGATTTTACACAAATTTTCTTCTGGCATCCACCAGAGTACAAGGCCGCTTGATAGGCAAGTGCTGACAAAAAAATTGCCTCACACGTACAGGAGCAGCCGGTTGATGATGATACCGACTCGACCCTGGGTAGCGATGTCGAGAGTTCAACAGCCTCGATCAGCTCTAGCATTCTGAGATATCGTACGATCAAAGGTCGTACGTACCACAGTGATGCTGTAACTGATCAAGAATATTGGTATGTTTGGTTTAAGAGGCAGTAGAAGTACAAGACGATATATGAGGCTAATGATTGTTTCGCAATTTCAGGGGTCCAAATGACGATAAGGCCAATGAGATGCTGGATATTTTCCACCATTTCATGACTTTGTTCTTGGACGGAAAGCTGTATACGGCCCCCATCAAGGATGACATTCAGAATGCACTTGATGTCTGCACTGGTACTGGTAAGTTGATGTAATACGTTGGACGGAACAAGCACCCTGCCCACCTACAAAGTAGGTAGACATCGCATTGAGGCGAAAGGGTCACTAATCATCACATCCTTTTTTTTTAGGACTTTGGGCGATTGACTTCGCCGATGAACATCCCAATTGTAACGTATACGGTACCGACATTTCACCAATCCAGCCCAGTTGGGTTCCTCCCAACCTCCGGTTCGTTATCGATGACGTGACCAAGCCCTGGACCTACCAGGAAAACTTCTTCGATTACGTCCATATTCGCTGGCTTACCGCCGTGGTTAAGGATTGGCCCGCTCTATATAAGGAAGCGTACAGGTGTATGAAACCTGGTGGCTGGCTCGAGCACATCGACGCCGAGGTGAACGTGGTCTGTCTTGATGGCACCATGCCTCCAGACAGCGCCATTAATCAATGGGGCCAAATCTGGACCGAGATTGGAAAAAAGACTGGGCTGGTCGTGAATATGGTCGATTCGGGCTGCATGGACGATGGGATTAGGGAAGCAGGCTTCGCCAATATCGAGGTGGAGGACCTCCTTGCCCCTGTCTCGCCCTGGCCCGTGGACAAAAAGCAAAAGGAGATCGGCCTCTTCAACTACGCGTTTCTAACCCAGGATATCGAGGGCTTCCTCACCTACTTCTGCCCCACGGTTTTGGGCTGGACTGAGAAGGAGACGCTGATATACGCCGCCATTCTGCGAAAGGAGTACAAGGAGTGCAAGGTCCACGCAAACTTCAAGTGGCGCATAGTTCGTGCCCAGAAGCCGCTGCTGGATGCTTAAAGGGAATACGACAGTTGCAAAGGAACACATTCAGGGGGAGCGTTGTAGACGCTGTAGTTGGGAGCTTTATATACCTACTTTTCTCCCATGTTCACTGTCATCTATATGGTCGATTCATCGGGAAATGGCGTCTAGATAGACATGAAGACATGGATGTTTTTTTTTTTTTTTTTTGGAATTGACCTTACCCGTCTCACATACATGCGTAGAGGTATGCGTGTACATACCGTGTAGTACGTTACTTTCGGTACCGGATTATACCTCCACTCAACACCGCGCCGGGGAGACGGATACGGTAAATGTCAGGTGTTTCAAACTATCACCTACGACGAGATGGGTGGTTAAAGAGCCCAGCGTGAGGTTTATAACATGGCTGTTGAATGGAATGCACAATCTAAGCACAATGATACGGCGAGTGTCAGCTAGATGTACTTGCCAAGTTTCCACGTTGGAATCGAAAGGGTGAAGGAGGTCGGGTATATAATACCTCTGATACTCGTCAACTGGTACTCGTACCTCATCCTACGACCTTTTATCAATATTGACACAATCTCCATACTCAAGACCAATCGGTCATAGGGTATGGCAATAGTATGTGTCGTGAGTGATCTACACCGGCACCATGGTGTCTTCCCCTAGCACTCGCAGTATCACAAACAATCCCTACCGCTCATCCCCGGCAAGGAACAACATGAACCCCAACCCAACGTCTATCCTATCTGACATCTAACATCCGCACATACGTACCTACCTATCAAAGATTCAAACCTCATCCCATCACATACCTACCCACTTACATCCTCGGCATCTTCTTTGGGAAATTAGCCAGTCAAGCTTCCCCGGCCCAGAAAGGGAAGGTAAATATCTTCTCCAATGCAAGTCACCTTATGCTTACTTACTATTTTTGGGGGCAGGCTAAAGCGAGTCCACTACGCATCAACCAGGTTCAGGTTCAGGTCCAGGTCCAGGTTCAGGTTCAGGTTCAGGTTCAGGTTCAGGTTCAGGTCACCGTCCATGTCTCAAGTCCATTCAGTCCCTTCCATCACTTCCCTGCCCGCGTATGGATCACGTCTGTAGCTCAAACATCACTTCTCCCATATTCTACCTCTTGTCGTGCCCAGTCATAGATAGCATCATCCGGGATAACTTGGAACCTGGAATGACGCGTGCTCCCGGTGTTGCTCGATAGTCTGCGTAGATCCACCACCACCCACGCTCGTCTTGACAGGTTAACGCTAGATGGGCGACAATTTATAAAGCCGATGATGCAATGTTGATGAAGTAAGGCACGATAAGCTTTCCGCTTGTGGTTACACCAACGATTGTGTCTCTGAAATAGAAGATGTATGCAGGTTGGTATGATAGCTGATATCCAGTTCATTGGGTATGTGACCTGTCGTGACAGTCGTGGGGGGAAAATGAATGTCAAACAGTTTGATGAAGGGCAGTATCGCGATTCACCTCACCAGGGTCTTGTGACAGGCCAGCAAGAAAGGGACCCAGAGAATAATGCGGAGGACGGGGGTTAAGAGTGGACCGTGGAGAAAAAGAAACCAGGGCCCGGGAGTGAAGATGAAGTAGAGACGGGGGTGTTATGTGGCCAAGGTTGGCAAGGCAGGGGTTCCATCAGTCGGAGCGTGGAAGGGTTTTGGTTGGGTCTCAGGTCGAAGCTTTGACATTCGTTCCTCGTGGCAGCGTGGATTTTATCGAATCTGCCAGTGGCGCTACTGTGCGATCGGCTTCGACGTTGGATGTTACTGCAAATCGATGGACAAATTACCACGAGCTCATGACCTATCCCGGTCCACCGCGCTTGTAGATAAGCGGTAGCTCGGAGCGTCCCACGCCTTGTGGATGTTACCCTTTTCGGATATCAAGTGAAGGCGGTGATGACCTGATGGGCCCAGATGGGATCGGGAAGTTTGGAGACACTCACACGCCACTCTGCCACGGTGAGTTCGTCATACTTCAAATTGATAGTAACTGACAGAACCGTGAGGCGAGGCAAGGTAAACAATAGGCTAGTGAACCAAGCAGCAACTAGCCAGTGTGTGGCATGTCTCATGAAGCGACTCCTGAATGGAAGGTTGAAGCGGTTATGCAGGGCCGCCATATGCGTGGATGCGTTCACGATGTCCTGTTTCAGCGGAGAATACCGTCGGTACCAAATCATGACTACGGGAAGCTGTCCCGTCGCGTGTGTGTTTCCGAATGCCGTGACGCTTTCAGAACGGAGGCCTTGTGAGGAGCCCGGAGAACCTTTTTGACGATGTCCAGGTGTTATCAAACAGCTATGTTTCGATGAACAAGCGAAGATTGCCTCGTAGTAGCAACAACCATATGTGCACTTGGATATGGCCGGTTCATATCGGATATGATGATGAATGAGACTGGCGGAGTGAGTGTCCAGTCTCGTCATATAACTCCGCAACCCTTGGGTAGTCGTGATCACGACCAGGTTTTCATGACGGATTAATGCGCAATGACGGGTGTCGGTAAGTGATAGGACACGGCATGTAACGGCAAGTCAGGATGATCCAACTGGCGGAAATCGCGGGCAAGACTGTGTATTCTGTGCATATTTGGAGACCAAAGAGACGGCCAGAGTGGGTGGTGATAACGTAAAGATAGGGGGACCATAGCGGCTTAACCAGCTCGTCGGCTGGTATCCGGCCTACCACAGATATGTAGGACCCTCAGAAGGGCCCAAGCCGAAGAAGAGGAGGTGAGAAAAGTGAGACGGGGATAATGTCGAGTGTCAGCTGCAAGGCTGAGATGTGAAGCAGTTTCTCTGCCGAAGGAGCATTAACTGGCCAATGAGACCGCGGATATGGAGGGGGGATACTCCGTGAAGGTAGTATCCTTTGATATAAACATGTCAACGGCTGAGGTGAAGCGGGAACACTGTTGCAAACAGCCGGTAGAAAGAAGAGGCTCATGAGGCCTGAAAACCCAAAGTTCTCGAGCCGCGATGGCGGAGTGAGTTTCGGGAAGAGGAAGAAAGAAATGTTTGATCAGCATGGAAATTGCCTTCAGACCCTTCTTCGCAGACGGATGTGATTTCCAAATGCCAGTGGCCAAAACGTGGTGCAGTAAAATTGGCGGGTGACGGTTGGAGGTTTGAAGTTGAGGAAGGCTCAGATGGAAGGACGTTGCGAATGGATTGTTTTCGAAACCAAATGGGAAAGAAGGGTGCCTGGCGCAGGTACGTACCTGACTTTTTGGTGCAAGGGAAATCTTGGCTTGCAGGGCCGGCCAGCGACCAATGGCGTGTTGTGGATTGGATGTTTTGGTGGAGTCGCCACCCGATCTCGCACTCGGATCCGTCCGAGACTTGGAACAGCGGCCCGGCGTGCGGCGGTGCCACTCTTCTTCAGGCGATGCGGAGCCGTGATTCCGACAAAATCCACTTTGAGCAGCCAATTGGGTGAACTTCGGAACTCAGGTGGCCCGCGAAGCCCGCCGAGCACGAATTACCCCGGCTCCCCGGGAAGGAAGCTGAACCCCACACACTCTCCAAACTTTCCATCGTTCCTATCAAAGTGGAAAGTCGCAACCCCTCGCTCGCAGCCCTCGCAGCCCTCGCTAGGTCGCGCTTGGCTGGCCCGAAAGGAAAGAGCTGGACTTGTCAAACTCTGCCCCGCGCCGCTTCCCATTGGCGGATTGGCGACGACACCAACTGCAACTGCCAAACGGGCGAGGCTCCCAACGATGAAACTCTCTGCTCCAGGTGCCTTCCTCCCGTCAAGTACAACCGTGCGGTGTCGGAGTACGTAGTGAGTGGGCTGAGATCTTGTGTCCGTTCCCGTTGACCTGGACAATCGAATAAACCTTACCTGTTTTACATTACCAGGGTCTTACTAGACGGCCCCAGCTAACCGCGATACCGAAATTCTCGCCTCCCCAAATCTGGCCGATAGGAAAAGTCGGGCTTCTCCCATTGTTTGCATCAACCTCACGATGCTTGTTGAGACGGGGACTCGTCCCGGGTTTGGCAAGGGGAAACGAAAATGGAGCTCTGATCTCGGCCAAACTGGAAATCACCCCTAACTCCTGAGTCTGAAAACAACCGTTTTCGGGTTTGGAGGAGTCTTATGGTTACCTCTAGGTAGGTAGACCAGGGCACTAACAGAAACATTAACTCCCGAGACAAGGCAAGCGTGGGCCCCGGCCAACCGGATCATGATGCACCAAGACTACGAAATGGTAACCTTTGCAACGGGACTAACGCGGAGAGACATGCGCCGAGTGGTGGCCGCAGCCTTCGTTGGCGTCTAGGCTCCTGCTGTTTTGCTTGAGAATAGCTTCTGTGGTGTAAGAGGTAGAGAGAGCCACGAGGTGCTTGTTTGCTCGGTGCTGTAGCTGTTTGGCCCGTTTGGCGAGACTTCGGGAAACAATATTTGCCTAAAAAGCGACATCTACCATTAACATCTGCCCCTTATATTGCTACCGCTCGCCTGTCCGGCAACTCCCTACACTGCAGCAGACATACTTGAGTCTGAACAGGATCATCGTGCCCAGCTCCCGGATTGGATCCATCCAGAACCCAGCGCCATCCCGGCCCACGCTCCCTACACTACTGCCACCACGTTCTTATCCATATGCCACCATATCCCACACGCATACCGATCCATCATATTCCATATAAAACAGTACCAAGCACCCCAATAAGGCGTGTGCCCTCCCTCCCAAGTCACAAGAGTCACCTGGATCGCCCCTTTTTTTTTACCCTTCTGTCAACATCTCCTTCGGCACTCGGAACCCGCGGTTGGTTGGAACCAAAGAGAAAAGTGGTGGACTACAAGTGTTGAGAGTCCAGAGCGAGGTCCCTGTCAGCAAGTGAGGTGGATTGTGGATCACGATACCCCATTCGGCCGAGGTTCTCCCATCTGGTCTGACCTAGCTTTTTAGCTGGCCGTTAGCCGCCCCCCCTGGGGTAACCCCGTCGAGACCTGGGGTGCCTGGATTTTGGAGTCTTGGGGACTGGAGAAACTGGAGACTCTGGGGAACGACTGGAGCCCGAGACTGTTATCCACACCACTGGGACCACGCACCGTTGTGAGAGAAGTCTCCGACAAAGGAAACAAGACAAGAAGCCCGTCTCTCCCACACACTCTCTCTTGACCTTCAAGTACACCCACACTCATACACACTCACACATACACCCTACTCGATGCTGTACAAGCACACGATACTTCAACGACAACAAGATTAACACCTTCTATCCCAAAGACAACCCTTACTACTTACATCAGCATCCTCACCAAGAACAACAATATCACAAGTGTTACAAGCAAAGCAACAGAGAGGAAACTCGATGGTCAGGTAGTAACACGGAAAACAACAACCTACACAATGGCAACTTCAACAACCGGTGGTGCCGCCGTGCTGGCGCCGACTACACCTTCGACGCCGGCTACCACAAGGATAACGAGATCATCACGAGAGTCGAATTTCAGTCCGGGTGGTGGTATGGACAAGGGGACAGGGGTTGTGTCGGGACTCTCTGTGAATGGATACCAAGAGCCACGCCGGCGGTGCGACCAATGCCCTGGGGGCCAGCGGCACACGCTATGCACCCACCACAACCTGGGGTACAACCAGTCACAGTCTCCGCAGCGCGAGCCCGAGTTTATCCTGTCCTCGTCGGTTGCAAGTGGAAGTGGAAGTGGAAGCGGCGGAAGCGGAAACGGAAGCCTCAGCGCCGCGCTATTAACAGGGACCTCAGCGGTACACAGCCATCTCCAACGACCCCGCAGGATCTCGAAGCTCAAGCACCGCTCCCTGACTGCCACCCTGGTGAACCTTAAGAATGCCGGCTCCCTCAGCAACAATAACATTGGCCGCCCCCGAAGCAGCGGTTCTCCGGCTGTCACCCAAGCCACCCAAGAACACAACGCCAGCAACTCCCCTGCCGGCGACGACATGGAGCCGCCCGTGCTCTCCTTTTACGGCACCGAGCCCGTCCCCCTTCCCAGTCGCTTTGCCCAGATCAAGCGCACTCTCGTGGCCGGCCACGAAAAGGAGCTTGAGGCTTCGTGGGCCCGTCTGATAGCTGCACTGCGCGACGAGGTTAAGAACATTGCACAGCGCGGTTCGTCAATCACTCCCAGCATCGACTTTGCCGAGATTTCGACCCCCTCCAAAAAGGCAGACTTCGCCCGCGACCTCAAGCGCTACGGTCTTGGCGTCATCCGCGGCGTCGTACCCCATGCCGATGCGCAAAAGGCCATAGACGAGACTGTCAAGTACCTCGAAACCAAGCACGACTTCAAAGATCCCATTCCCCAAGATCCAACATGCTTCGACTTCTTCTGGACGCCTGCCCAAGTGCGCACGCGCGCGCACCCCAAGGTGCTGCAAGCACAGCGCTTTGCCATGTCGCTTTGGGACAATGATGCCGACGATCGCATGGTCACCCGCTTCCCCATTGCCTACGCCGATCGTCTGCGCATTCACGGCGCCAACATCGGCGGAGTGGGCCCCGATGCCGCCGAGAAGAAGGCCAGCGAGAACCCTGCCGCCGCAGAGGCCCAGAAGGCTGCAATGGAGCTCCTTGGCGACTTCGCATCCTCTACCGTCATCGCCCAGGTCGACAACGGCAGTCTTGAGCGGTGGGAGTCGGACGGGTACGGCCGCGGAGGCACCTACGATGCCGTCTTCAAGGGGGAGTGGGAGAAGTACGACCCGTGGGATCCCACCTACCGCGTCACCGCGACCCCGGATCTCTACAACGGCTACGGTGCCTGCAGCATCTTCCGCATGTACCAGGGCATCGTGGCTCTCAGCACCATCGACCCGGGCATGGTACGGCTGCTGCCCAGCCCCAAGCTAGCCACCGCCTACTTCCTTCTCCGTCCCTTCTTCTCGCCCAAGAACCCGCCGCCCGAGCGGCGCGAAGGTCCCGAGTGGGAGGCCTTCCTCGACGCATCCAACTGGTCCCTGGACGCCGAGCAAAGCACCATAATCCACGGCGCCGTCCCCGGCCACGCCCAGCGTCTCACCGAGCTCTGGCACCCGCACCTGCACCTCCGGCGCACGCTCACCACGCTTCCCACCCTGCAAACAGGTGATTACATCGTCTGGCACCCGGACCTGGCATACCACATCACCTCCAACCCCCACACCATGGCGAGCCGCGCACCCACACCACCACCTCGGACAGAAGAAGATGACGATGACGAAACACCCGTCGGCTCCAAACCAGTCTCAATTCTCGTCTACGTCCCCGCCGCGCCGCTCACGCAGACCAACGCGCTGTACTTGGCCCGCCAGCGCAAGACCTTCCAGCGCGGACACCCCGGTCCTGACTTCGATTCTACGGGAAGCGGTCTAGGCAGCGAGGCGTCGCACTCTGGAAGGCCGGGCGAGACGGAGATTGCCGAGGTCGGCGGCCCCGCGGGGCTGCAGGCCATGGGTCTGGCGCCCTTTGATATTGCGCCCACGCCGACGAGCAATTCTAGCAATGATGGCGAAGAGGAGGTGGATGATGATATGGATGTTGAGATGGAGGGTGCGACTAGCGGGAGCACCAATGAGGCCGCCAAGCCCAGCTCGGCGGAGACCATCAGCGGCGTGTCTAACACACCCGTCAGCCGGGCTGAGGCTGAGGTCGCTAGGATGGCGAATATCATTTTGTTCCCGGATCGTTATGACTTTTATATGGGCACTAGACGAAGCTCGGCGACGAAGAGGAAGAGGTCGTCGGATGTTAAAGATGAGGAGAAGGAGAAGGGGAAGAGGAAAGAGAAGTCACCACCATCCGTGACCATTGCGAACAAGGAGGTCACGGTGCCGGTACAGGTGAAGCAGGAGCAGGAGAAGCGGCCGGATGTGGATATGGAGAGGACAACGTCAAGTGAGCAGGTTCAGGGCCAGGGGAAAGAGAAGGAGAAAGAGAGGAAAGGAAGCGCTTGATCTGATGCTGGAGGACGAGCGAGATAGGTTTGGATTGGGGGTGTCTTGGTTCCTTTTTTTTTTGGTTATTTTATCGGATGGTTTCAACTTTTTTGTACATGGGAGCCAGCCAGCGGATGGAAAGTGCGTGCATGGAGCCGCGGAGCGATAGACGCGACTCATATCCCCCATAGTCATACCCCCTTCTGTGTGCCCTTTACCTACTACTCTTTCAGTGCATATTGGAAGACTTCGTAAGGGTGCTGTTTTCTTGTTATAGTTACTACCTATATATTCGTGTTACTTAGTTGAAACATATTTTGCCTGCTTGCTGCTCAACGTACCTTATGTTGTCATTTTTCATCTATTCGAGATCCCTCCTGTTGTCATTTCTAAATGTCGTTGGCATAAGACACTTGCAGCCCTCAACGTGGACAACGTTCAGACAACGTGAAGACTGGAGGGATGACTGGCCTGCTCCCGCCGTGAACTGTCAAGATGTCCCTTGGGCGAGTTTGAGTGTCATCGTAATGTCTGTTCCCTTGTGTTCATAAACATGAAGACACTCCGGTATTAAGAACAATCAAGCAATGAACTTCGAGCACTTGCGAAACAATAATTTGGAAACTTCCGAATGAATCCTTCATTGAGTCCCTAGCCAATTACCAAACTCGGTAACGCCGGAACGTTTTATGTTCAACTTTTCTAATTGGAGAGAAAACATCTCACGTACTAGACAATGTCGAAGAGGCTTCAAGGGGTAAAGTGTTATTAAGAGGGCACGAGTAGTAAAAAATAGAAGCCTCCAGACCTCTGAGGTTGCCATTTGCTTGACGCCCGAACTCTTCCTACCTGAATAAAATGGGAACAAAAGAGAGGGAGAAAAAGACGATGTGCGACGTAAGAGAAAAAGAAAAAGAAAGAATGAAAAAAAGAATGAAAAAAGAAAAGACATATCTCTTTTGCGTTTTTGTCCTTTGGCGTTTTTGTCCTTTGCTTTTATTAATATCGCAAATGTTCTCTTTTTCTTTTCTTTGCTCAATCAAGACTTCGGGACTTGGAGACCGAGATGTACTTGAAAGCAGAGGGTATTTTTCTGTCTCAACCAACGACCTCTTTCAGTTTTGCGCCCTATTAATTGGGCAAATCAAGCCATCTCCGGCATCGTCAAAGGGAATAAGGTTATCCAGTCTTCGAATGAATCATTGAAGGACATTGAGGTTCTTCATCGCTAACAGATTTCAACTTCTTCTTGGCGCGTGATATGGGGCCATTGGAACCTGGAGGTAAAGTCTCAGCAGTGAGAGACAGTTGTTGAGATCCAGGACTTCCAGTTGCAGCGGAAACCGAGTGTCCGGCATAGTTGAGAAGAGGGCATGATAATAAGTTCGCACAGGTCAAGAGAGGAAGGTTTCCACTCGTTAAGGGGCATGGAGAAAACGAAAAGAGGCGCAGGTCACTTCATAAGGAACTACCAGTTTTAAACAAAGATGCAATGTGCTATTATTAGTCCTGCTGTAGTACTGTTACAAGATAAATGATAACTAACTGATGAGAATAACGGACAGAAACAATGAACTGCAAAGCGAACCAAAAATGCAAAACAAAGGAAAAACCAGAAATGATACAAAGCGAATGTCCCACGCTACCCACGGTCATGTACTCTTCAAAGAGGCATCTCGCTCTCGAAGTTGATGAAGTCCATCATGTCGAAATCTGAATCGTTGAGACCCTCAGTAGTAGTAAAGGCAGGTAGGGGCACTTGCTCTACCTGAGCGGGCTCTTCGACAGCAGGTCCGTCGACAGCAGGTTCGTTGACAACAGGTTCGTTGACAACAGGCTCGCTATCAGCGGTGTTCGCACCAGCAGCATCAAACTCCTGGAGAGCCTTCTCGATCTCTTCGTCAGTGAATAAGGGGCCTACACCAAAGTCAGCAGGGGCAGTAAAGCCGTTCTCACAGCCACCCAGGGGCAACTGCTGGTCGATATCCATGGGCATGGACATGGACATGGGCGTACTGACACTTGCCGGCACAGAGAGGTCCATAGAGGGCCAAAAAAGTGAAACCTTGTACATACCAGATACTTCGTCATACACCCATTGAAGATCAAAGACCTTGGGCACGTAAGGTTTGAGGAGCTCCTTGTCGCGAACGTGGTTCTCGAGCTTATCGTAGGTCGATGCGACGAAGGCATTGTATTCATAAATTGCCATTTGGTAATCGAGGCCGTGATCGGTCGGCCATAAGGCGTTCCGGATGAGTTCGGAGGTCTGGCAGAGCTTCAGGAAGGTCTCCAGCTCTTTAGCACGCCCGCTGAGGGTGGCTAGGCGCTGGATGATATGGGGTGAGAGCTCTTTCGGGGGAGATTGGCCGGTTGCGTGAAGCTGTTAAGTACTCGACGAGGGGAATGGATCCTGAATGTTGTACGAAGGGAGAGGCTGGGGCGCAACAGCCACCTTGGTCTCCATCTGCTTGGCGTCAGTAGTGGAGGGAAGGGCGGCGGTGGACTTGACCTGCTTGCGTCTATTTCTAGGGGGCTTGCGGACCAACTTATAGTCAGGAAAGGCCTTACCGTGCATTTGTTTCTCTTTTTCCGCAAGAGCTGTGAACTTGGCTTTGACCGAGGGAGGTTCGAGAGACCAGCTGCGAGAAATGATGGTTGACAAAAATTGATGAGATGATGCCTCTGGGAGGTCGGTGACGTGAGCCTCCCTCCATGCCTCGGCGCGGGCATGAGTGGCGGTGAAGTAAAGAACGAAGTGGTTGCATGGGCGTCTCGGCTTCCCAAGCCCCAACTCCTTGTGTCTTATATCGATGGATCGATGGACGTAGGCTTCCATATCCCGGAACGGGACATGGTCGAGGTCCGTATGTTCGCTAAAAGGCTTGGTGAGTAAAAGCTCCAGGATCGGGTTGGGCACGCAAGTCTTGTTCCTACCCATTTTGATGACTGTTGATGGCTGGTGATGATCGTACGAGTCGCTTGCTGGTGAGTCAGTGTGTTGATGTGGTCGTGATAGCGAGGTTGAGGCTGCTTGTTTGAGTTGATGATGTGGAAAAAAAACCAACAACATGGTTACACTGGATATCGTCGTCTATTTATGTCAAAATAGCTTCGTTTCTGGAACCGTGAACAAGATGTTTCTTCTGTAGACAGGCTCTGGACAGTCACGGCGAAGTAAACACACGTTCGCGGAATAGAAAAGTCAAACAAAGACTTGGGCGAGGAAGAGCCTGAAAGAAACCGTAACATGGCCATTGTTCCGCGGAAGAGTATCCGGCGCGGATAATAGTGATTGAGACATGTCAATTGTGATGATAACATGGCCAATGTCCACTTCTTTGGTGTTTTGTCTGGCAAACAGAAGAGCAATTAGATGAAAGTGAGGTGGAATTAAAGTTGATACCCTCGAAATTCCAGTGATGTCAGTCCCATTTCATAGCGCACAGCCTGGGCCGGGCCGTGGAGCAGCAGGGGCAGTAACAGATGGGTGGGACCCGACTTCGGCGGGGTGGGTGGGGTGCCGTCTCTGACTCTGTCTTCCGCAGCTGTGACTGGCTGCAGAGCTTTCTTATCAGCTTATCGGCAGCTGAGTCATCCAAAATCTGGAGTCTACACTGACTCTTCCTCCCCCACTCGAGCCGCCTGTAGCAGGTTGGTTGCAGGGCCCTGAAAAAAAATTGAAACCCTCTCTTTTCGTCTTCGTCTTGAGATCCGGCATCCAAAATTCGAAGTCGCGCATTCGCATCTTGGTTGTCGATAACCTCCAATACCAACACAATGGCTGCCGCTACCCTCGGAGAGGTGCCTACCAAGGCCTTCGATACTATCCTGACTTTGGATTTCGGGTGCGTCGTTCCTGCTTCTGCTGATGTTGCTTATTGTTACTACAATATGCAGCTTTATGTGTGCTGATATATGTGCATGTTCATCCTGTGCTAACAAGCCGTTCGTTTCTCTCATAACAGATCGCAGTACACTCATTTGTAGGTCACTTCTTTTCACACTCACTCATATTAATGATGAGTTGCAGCACACTATTCACTCCGGGCTCCGTAATTACAACAAAACCGGCCATTCATGGTTGCCTCTTTGTTTACTTGAGACCCCTGGACGGCCTCACCTCTCAACACCCCCCCTGCCACCCCAGTGTAAACAAGAGACATACTAACCCATGAATCCTAAAGGATCACCCGTCGTCTGAGAGAGCTCAACATTCTCTCTGAGATGCTACCATGCACCACTAAGATTGCCGATCTCGACTACAAGCCCAAGGGTGTCATTCTCTCCGGCGGCCCCTACTCCGTCTATGAGGACGGTGCTCCCCACGTCGACCCTGCCGTGTTCGAGCTTGGTATGGATCAACTCTGACATGAAAGACTGTTTGTATCCTTGCTAACTCTCACTGCTTAGGTGTCCCCATTCTTGGCATCTGCTGTACGTGATCACTCATGATCATCTGCTCTCACCTTGCCCCTTGAGATCTCACCCCCATTGACACTCTCACAGATGGCATGCAGGAGATCGCCTGGCGCGCCAGCCCCGAGAACGTCATCGCCGGCGTCCACCGCGAGTACGGCCACTCCAACCTGAAGGCTCTCAAGGGCGACGACGCCCACGTCGACCGCCTCTTCGCCGGCCTCGAGGACTCCATGCGCGTGTGGATGTCCCACGGCGACAAGCTCGGCGCCCTGCCCGAGGGTTTCCACACCGTCGCCGTGTCCGACAACTCCGAGTACGCGGCCATCGCGCACAAGACCAAGCCCATCTACGGTCTTCAGTTCCACCCCGAGGTCACCCACTCGCAGAACGGCACGCAGCTGCTCAAGAACTTCGCCGTCGACATCTGCGGCTGCGCCCAGAACTGGACCATGGCGCGCTTCCTCGACCAAGAAATCGCCCGCATCCGCGACCTCGTCGGGCCCGAGGGCCAAGTCCTCGGCGCCGTCTCGGGCGGCGTCGACTCCACCGTCGCCGCCAAGCTGATGAAGGAGGCCATCGGCGACCGCTTCTGGGCGGTGCTCGTTAACAACGGCGTCATGCGCCTGGACGAGTGCGAGCAGGTCGAGCGCGACCTGAAGCAGCACCTAGGCATCAACCTGACCGTCATCGACGCCTCCAAGGACTTCCTCGAGGGTCTCAAGGGCCTCCACGACCCCGAGCAGAAGCGCAAGTTCATCGGCGGCAAGTTCATCGACGTGTTCGAGGCCGAGGCCCAAAAGATCGAGGAGGCCGCCGAGAAGTCCGGCAAGGGCACCAAGATCGGCTTCTTCCTCCAGGGCACCCTGTACCCGGATGTCATCGAGTCGCTCTCCTTCAAGGGCCCCAGCGCCACCATCAAGACCCACCACAACGTCGGTGGCCTGCCCGAGCGCATGACCAACGGCCAGGGTCTCCAGCTGATCGAGCCGCTCCGCTCGCTCTACAAGGACGAAGTCCGCGAGCTCGGACGCACCCTCGGTATCCACGAGGAGCTCGTCATGCGCCACCCCTTCCCCGGCCCCGGCATTGCCGTCCGCATTTTGGGAGAAGTCACCGAGGAGAAGGTGCGCATTGGTCGCCAGGCTGATCACATTTTCATTTCCGAGATCCGCAAGGCCGGTCTGTACGACCAGATCTCGCAGGCGTATGCGGCTGTTGATCCTAGCCGTGCTGTGGGTGTCATGGGCGACAAGCGCGTTTACGGTTACATCATTATTCTGAGGGCTGTTACCACTACGGACTTCATGACTGCTGAGGCGTTCAACTTCCCGTGGGAGTTCCTCCAGCGCGTCATGAACAGGATTGTGAACGAGGTTCATGGTGTGTCCAGGGTCACTTATGACATTACTAGCAAGCCGCCTGGTACTATTGAGCTTGAGTAAACGATGGCACTTACTTGGGCTTGGGTTTAGGAAGGAGTTAGAATGTCTGGAAGAGACAGGGAGGAATGGAGGAATGAAGATACCACAAGTACAGTAAAAGATGGGGAATGAAATAGATTTCAGCGTGTTCATGCCATGCGTCTTGTGCCATGTTCTGGGAGATGTAAGAAGTTGACAGTGATCTTGGCGATCGTATGTTCTTGTCTACCTCTACGAATGTTGCCACTTGGGTTCTACACAAGTAAGCCAAATTTACACCGTACACCGAGGTATCCCAGGGTATCTAAACCATTCAGACTACCTCTACTCACAAAACCTCACAAAACACCAGACATCTCGCAAGTAAACAAACCAAAAGCACATCTCATAAAATAACAACCAAAAACTCCAAACGCCTCTTCGACATTGCATCTCTCATCAAAACAAACCTCTATCGATAAATCCTCTCACCAAGTACCATCATCAACATAAAAATCCGCATCATCATCCCCCAACTCCTCAATCCTCAAACTCCCATCAACCACATCTCCCCCTCCCTGACCCTGCACCTCCACCTTTATTTTCTCCTCATTCCCCTCCAAATCCCCATATAAATCCTCATCCATGTCCTCATCCACCTCCTGCACATCCGACAACCACGGCTTCCTCGCCACCGTTTGCCTGGGCCTTTCCACCCTCTGCTTAGGGCGCTGCCTTGGTGGCTGCTTAGAGGTAACGGGCTGCTGCCCACCGCTAGGGCCATCTGTAAGGGACCCAAATGAAAATCCTGCTGAGCTTCCGCTTCCCAGCGCCAATTTCATGGGGTTTATATTCGTATTCTCACTCGATATCTTATCCAAGTTTTCTTCAATGATGCCCGACATTGACATCATCGAACTCGAACTTGAGTTTGCTGCCCCCCTCTTCCTGCTAATTCTTGTAGGGGACTTCGCTCCGGAACCGAAGGAACCAGCACGGGGACGACCTGCGCCAGATCCCACTCCGGAACCAGCGCGTGGACGTGGAGCACCAGAGCCAGAGCCAGAGCCAGAGCCAAAGCCAGAGCTGGAGCCTGGGCTAGGGCCAGAGGTAGAGACAGAGCTAGGACTTGGGTGAGAGATGGGGCGAGAAGAAGGACCACGTGGTTGTGGGTTAAACGTTGGGTTGAGCGTGTTGGTGTTGGGAGGAGGCTTGGAGCCGACGTTCGGGTTAAAGTTGCTGTGTCGCGTAGCTGTGTTGATGTTGAATCTCTGCATGGGCTTCACTGGCTGTTTACCTGGCGTGGTGGGTTTTTTGAAGGTGGAAGGGAGGTTGGAGGTAGAAGTAAGGTTGGAGCTGGAGCCGAGGTTAGATCTCGTCATTGGCTTGGCTGGTTTTATAGGTCTGAGGTCGAGTCTGGGTGCGGGAACTGCGGGAGCTGTGGAACTAGAAGCGGGAGCTGTGGAGCTAAAAGGGGCATTGGAAGAAGAAGAAGAGGGAGCTGTACGTTTCAGATCGAGCCTAGTTGTGTCCTTCGGGGGTGGAGGTCCAAAGGGGTCGTCACCCACGGGAGTGGCAGAAGTGGGAGGTGTAGCAGGCCGAAGTTTGAGAGTAGGAGGCGGAGGTCTAGCAAGTACCAGAGCCATTGGATTCTCATCAATGACATTTTCCGTCTCGAGTTGAGAGCGTCTTGTCTCCTCACGCATGCGGCTAGGAGTCCTTGGGCCAGGTGGTTTGGAGAGGGATGCGCGACGCTCTCGTCCGGTGCCGGGTGTAGCTGTTGAACTTGAACCGGCACGAGAGACGGAGCGTCGACGACCACTGGGACCGGAAGCAGAGCCAGCACGAGACCTTCCTCGAGGGGGTTCTTGTTTCTCCTTTTCTGCGTCGCGTTTCTGCTGTTCGTAAAGCTCCTTTCTTCTCCTCAGTGCCTCTTGTAGCTGGCTATCCGTCTTATTACCTTCGTCTCCCTTTTCCTTGGCTTTTTGGTTCTCGCGCTGCTCCTTCCTAAGCCTCTCATGTTCGCGCAGCTTCTCATCCGCCTTCTGCGCCCTTCTCTTCGCCTTGAACCTTTCGAGGTCCTTCTCCGCTTGCTTCTTCTCTGCAAGCATAAGGCCAATTTGAGGTTTCCTTGGACTTATAAATAAGTCCTTATAGTTCTCAACATTCGTCAGATCTCGCACCTTCAGCTTCGCTTCTTCCATGTATCTCTCGCGTTCCTGTCGTTGTTCTGTCTGCGGATCTACTCCCATGTCCATGTCCCCGTCCATGTCTATGTCCGGGCCCATATCCATCGGAATAGTCCCGTCTGGCGGTGGTCCGGGAGCAAACGGGTTTACCCCCATCATACCCATCATGTAGTCAGGCTCATCCAGATCCATCGCATTTGGCGATCTTGGCCGCCCCGTCATCTCCACCTCCATGGTATCCTGCTTAGACCAAAACTGTTCCCTAGAAGTAAAATACCAGTATTTAAACCTTGCTTCCCACTCTCTATGTTGCGCCAACACTCTATCCTGCTGCTCCAGTCGGTCTTTAACTCTCCTTGTCGCCTCCTTCATTTCAATCTCAACCCTCTTCACCTCTTCCCTTCGCTGATGCTTTTCCTCCAACAGCTGCACCAACTGCGCATTACTCCACTTCTGCTCCTTCCCCAGACCCTGGCACTGGCCTGCTTGTGCAAACGCCGACATGGACAACTTCGCCCACTGTGCCATATCCGCTAGTAAGGTAGGATCATACCGCCCGAGCATCATCTCGAGGGTATATATAATCCCCGGATGCACACCGCTGTGTTTCGGGGCAGTGACGCCCTTGGTCCACTTCTCATGGCCTTTTTCCAACTCGTCGAGTAGCTGCGCGGCGCTTTTGCCTGCTTTGTTCTCCACCTTCATCTCGTAGGAGTAGAACTCCAGGAGCAGCCGGAAGTCGTAGCGGGTGAGTAAGGTCACCACAGCGCCGATGTCGGCTGTTAGGCCGAGGAGGTTGCGGATGGCGAGGGCGGGGTTCTTGGCTTGTTCGAATTGCTGGTTGCCTAGTTCAAGGGCGTCTAGGATCTGGTGGGCTGGTTTCACGATGTTCTCTGGCTGGATGAGCCAGGCGTAGAAGCTGTCGAGCAGTTGGCGGTCGTAGTGGGGGAAGTACGTGTACAGCTTGGTTAGGTCGGGCGGTGGTCGGGAGGAGAGGGCGGTGAGGCCGAATGGGCCCCGAGTAGTTAGAGCCGTTGACGTTGTCTGGCCTGGGGGTGTCTCGAGTTGTTCCCATTCGCCATTAAAAGCTTCGAAGGCCTTGCCTACTGGAGGGATGACAACTGGGCAGTTGGGATTTGGAGGTCTAAACGGCCGAAGGACCCTTGGGCTCGGTAGTCTATGGATTCTGTTTTCTGGTTAAGCAGTGTTATCAGTTGTAGTCGCAGTCGTGGCAGGGTTAGATGGGGATACATACCGAGGAATGTATTTCACGGGAGTAGTAGGCTTGGGTGCAGGCGTCGGAGTAGTGGTCTTAGGTGCAGGCGCTGGTACAGGCGTTGATACTGGCTTTGTTGCTTCCGGATTCCCCATCTGACTCGCCGGGGGCGTCTTTTCAACCTTTAAATGCTTGGGGTTTGGCGGTTTTGGATCATCATCGTCACTAAGAACGATTTCTATTTTGCGCTTTGGACTTGCGGAAGCGACCACGGGAGGGTCATACCCAACTACTCTGTAGATATGACTTTCCGTTACCGAATCTTGATGACGACCTCGAGGTAGCGATAGTGAAGATGGAATCGAGTTCAATGGTGCCCGCCAGTGGTGGGATAAGCCGTCAACTGGCCTGTTGTGTTCTGCTGTCTGGAGCTTGTACATCTTTGTGGACGCCAGCGTGAGGCGTGGTAGACGGAACTCATACGATAAATAGTCGTTCGGAAGCATGGGTCGATAGTGATTTTCATGCTGTTGTTGGTCACAGCAGTGTCAGCTTGCGTTGCTCAAAGGTCACGAACTCTGGGGTAATACTGAGGTGTAAGTCTAAGTGACGTACCGCATAGCAAAGAAATATATGTCGACTGTTGTAGGCCCCAAAAGTCTTCATGTCGTAGACCTTGTTAATGAACTGAACATTCTCTGCCGAGTCGTACTTGTAAAGCACGAGAAAAACTTTGTAGAGATCAGCGGTCAAATAGCACAGGTCGTGGTTCACCCAGAGGCCCGGAATGTGCAGTGCCTCCCAGAGGTTGAATTCTCCTTGTTTCGGTGTAGCTAAACCTTTTATGCCATCTGACTTGGACTTGAATTTGGTTTCCATCATTCTCTTATAGGAATGGTGGCGAGGATGATGAGGGTTGTTGAGGATGCTCTCGAGATACCAGAGGTGTTCCGCTTTGACGAGTAACCAGAAGCTGGCACTGCCGTAGATCAGTAGCGCGATAGAAGCCCAGTAACAGTGCCCATCATCCATATGTTTGCCGTCCCTGTCCTCTGAGTCCCACTTGTTTGGATGCATCACAAAGACAACCTTTTCGACCATGGGGAAGCCCTTGTAGAGGACAGCGGGAGGATGTTGAAAGTTTTTATAATGCCGCTTGTGGTTTTTGAAAAACCCCGACCAGTCGAAGTCTCCGAGCATAGTCGCCAGGTCTGGATCGGCAATTGGATTTGTAGGATCGGACTTGGAATACCGGTCGGTAAAATTCGTAGTTGCAGCTAGCTTGTATCTGCCAAAGTGGTCATCGATGGACATTCTATATCCCAGTTGCTTCCTGATAGCTGTAAAGTTATGGGTTGATGTAAGTCTGACCGGTTTGGGATTAAGACTGCATGCCTTCCTCTTGACCCCTGTACTCGTAGTCGAAGTGTTCGGCTTCCCCTCGACCTTGGGACTCGCAGCGGTTTTCTTAAACGGAAGCGGCTTGACTTTAACCTCCCCATCGTCATCATCGTCGTCGCCAATAGTTGTAATCTCCGGCTCCTTAACAGCCTCCGGGCGCTCCCATATCTCGACCGTCACAACAGGGGCAGCAGCGTCTTTCGGATCAACAATCGGTTTCTCCCGTCTGATCGTTTCGAGTTCTTCGTAGTAGATGACTTTCGGAAGTACTCTGCGATGTTTTTCATTTGCCGGTTTGTGATAAAGTTCCTCTATCTTGTCGCTGAAAGCGGACGACCGGGACGTGGCAGGTCTGGGCGCGCCGGAGCCGGACTGCGACTCTTCGACGGATTGTTTTGGCGGCATGATTCGGATTGCCCCTGGCAAAAGTGATGGGTATATTCGTACAGGAATTCGAAGCAAAAGTTCGAAAAGGCATTTCCACTCAGGCAGGCTGTTCACCGAACGTGGTGTGGTTGTGATGTGTTGTTCATAAGTATCGGAAACTGACTGGAGCGAGCGACGGCTCCCTCGTGTTGTTCACTACCACATCATTCTGGTGGATGGGTTCCATTGTTCGACTAACTCCATGACGAACAAAGATGGAGGCCATTGTCTTTGACAGTGCTGCTGTGGCAGTGGTCGTGAAGGTGGCTGTTGTTCAATGGGTGCGCCTTGGCCCTCTTCCGGATTTGGCATGTCGGTGGCTGGACGTGTCGCTGAGGACAATGGAAATGGTGGAACAAAGTGAGCGAGGACATGTTAAAGCCATTCTTTATTTCGGTCTTGGTCGACAGAGTGACAAAGGCGAGTGGATGTCGAGGTGGAAAGAATGGAAAAGGACGGGAGTTGGGCTCGTCGAAGAAGAATGGATGATCAGGTGGGGCTCAAGTCTGGTTTGGCGGACAGCGGCAGGCCACGGAGGTGACAGCTGTGGAGTATCCAATGCGCCCATGTGATTGGTCCAAAGCTACATCAGATCGCCCAAAAGGGAAAGTGCATGCTTGATACCTCCTCCTTCATGTTGTACTCGCACCTCAGGTACTTTGGGGCTTCTGGGCGCCAACTCAAGTCTTCCTTTGCCTCCTCCATCCGTCCCATGTAGGAAGAGCCGAAACTCTGGCACAGTCTTTTAATCTGGGATATATCAGAAATCTTAGCATTTCGCTCGAAAAGGTGTTAGTGCACAGGTTGGAACAAAGCAAAACCACAACGTGACATTTTTCTAAAAATCTGTCAAAATTCGAGAAAAGACTTTTGGGGTCCAGGAAGAGATATCTGAGACTTTATCCGAGAGACTCTATATGAAAAGTGCGCCATAGCCTCGGGGTTTGAAGTTGCGGTCCGGATTGCGCTCGTTCGAGACACGCGTGTTGCGTGGCGCAAAAAGCATCCAGTTTCAGCAAACTAATACTATGCAATGAACCAAAGTGGAGACAACCAATTGATTTAGTCTCGCTCATACTGTTTTAATTATTGGGGCTTTTCTCGGGAATCTTCTGCTACTCTTCGTGGTTGAAATGGCCATGTCAACCTTAGCATTTGCAGTGTAATTCAGATTGCCACAGATTAAAAACTCTCCCAGAAGTTCGGCTCATGTAGGGGGCAAAGGAAGACTTGAGTTGGCGCCCAGAACCCCCAAAGGAAAAAATGGCTTACACGGAGATTTGCGTTACGAAATATCGCCTATCCACATCTCACACAGCTTGAGGGCGCATCTCTGATGGATATTCATAAGACTCTACCCAGTATCTGTGCTATCATGTGAGAGAAAAGTTACAGAATGAGGAAACAGGAACGTAACGCCCTTGACGACTTGTACACAGGCCAGTTTTCGCTTTCCATGGACAAAAAGTCCTGCCTTTCCACTTCCCAGTAGACCAAAACAACCCCAGTGTCAGGAACCCAGGTTTGATGTCGCAAATGACAGAACGAAAAGCTCATGCTCCGCTGAACACACATCGTGTATTATTGACCATTGACTCCCTCCCCCGTCGTGAACATCCCCAGCACGCATACGAGGTGTCTTCCCTTCAGTGTTCGACGACCGGGCCCTTGCCCTCGTGCAAGAAGGCCAGGTGTTTCTGTAATTCTTCGGCGTTTGGAAACGGGAAATCCGTGCATCCTTCGAAAGGACAAAGAGAGCAGCCCTCGGGTATGTCCATGTCCTGCTTATCATGCTTACTGTTAATGTGCCGCCACAATTCTACTTTCCCTATGCAGGGCTCCCCACAATATTCGAAAGGACACAGAACCACCTCTGCCACCTCTGCGTCAGACATATTGTGTTTAATCTTCAGATGCAGCCGTACCGCTTCCACGTGGTGAGGAATGCCAAGTGCCCAACAGCCTTCAAGTTGGCCCTCGCGGAAAGTCGGACGATAACAAGCCACCCCAATTGGTGAGTTACGTCTTTCTGTCCGAGGGCTGGCCGGACACGACCAGGCTATATGCGCAGATCGTACCGCATTTGTAGAAAACGCTGCGGCACAGGCTGGGCATTTGAACCCGGTAGACGCAGAGTTGACGGATGGCCGTTGCTGTGGCTGGGCTTGTCCTCCCTGAAGTGTGCTTTCGTGGGCTTGAGTGCCTGGTAGGCTGGTACCAGCATCGGAAGAGTCAGCGAGCGGGACCGACTCTATGCCTTGATGTTGCAACTCTGGGCTGGGATGCTGCTCAGGCTGGTCGTTCGGACCGTCGTGTCCTCCATATCCACCCGACACAAGTCTTTCATCTTCTTCTCCATCAGGATGTGTCATATTTGATGACGATCCATTGAATCTCGCGCCGCTTGGAGAGCCGGGAAGCATGTCCGAATTTCCGGGCTGTGACACGGGAGCCACTGGTGCTTGTTGAGTGATGATTTTGTTTCTCTCGTGGCTCTTCATGTGCCTTCTTAGCTCCTCCAACGAATCATTTGCTCTTTTGCATTCTTCGAATGGACACAGATAGCCCATCGAGTCCAATTTTTGTACCCATAGAGGGTCGCAATCAATAGGTAATATGTAGAGGTCGTCGTGCCTCGAAAGCATGTGTTTCACTACTTCATCCCTTGGTTGTGGATCTTGGATTTCTGTACAGCCCTCTTCCGGACACGCCCAGGAAGCAGATGCGCCAAGTGTCTGGGGAAAGTGACCCCGTTTGTGACTCGCTAGGCCGCCCGTTCCCTTGAAAGTATCGTTGCACCAGCGGCATCCAAGTAGTAGATTGCTCAAAGGCATGGGTGAATTCTCTTGACCGGCGTGCATCGCCTGCATATGATGCCGCACATGGACGATACATCCGTAGGCTGCATCACAGCTCCCACATTTCCAGTTTCTATGTCTTGATAGCCAACGCATAACCGTAAACCCTGTGTTGCATCTTCCACAATACCAGGGCTCAGGCGTAACAGTGGTAAGATTCAAGCCGACATTTGTATCTCCGGTTCGGTGGCCTTGAGTATCCTGTTCCGCTGTGTCGGCTCTTTCTTCAGGCCTAGAAGCCTCGACGTTGTGTTGACCTTCCACATCGGATGACTCCATAGGCAAGCCTTCTCCAGCAGTTTCACCATTGCTTGGGAAGTTGAATTGACCTTCCTAGGCTATCTCGTTCTGCACCTCACCATGAATGTCATTTCCTGCCATGTGTCTTTCCTGGGAGTCGTTATGCTTTGGTTCCAGAGTATGGCGACGCTCGTTACCGTAAGAGGCATCGTATCCTTGGTTTCCGTACAATAGGCCCGTCCCCTCCGCCGTCTGTGTCAAAGGCTGCTGGTATTTGAAGCTCGGATGCTGTCCCATATTAACGTGTTGCTGTTGCCCTTGGAATGTTGCAGGAGATGCGAACTGGGTGGAATCCAGCGACTGTGACTGAGGGACGTAATTGCCAGGCGGTGACTGCTGATGAAAGGGCTGAAAGCGTGGGTTCTGACCATCCCCCGCGATTTGTCCAGTACCCATTGTTCCTCCAGCCACTGGGTGATTGCAGCCCCCGAATCCGACATCTGATTGAGCCAGCGACCGGTGAGCTGCCTGGGAAGCGCCACTCATAGGCAAAAAGCTGTTGCTGGGAGAAGGCTCAACCAGGTTGCCCATTCCCGTGCCATTGAATGGCATAGCGGAATAATACTGGTTCGGAAAAGTCGAAGACGTATTGGATGTAGGTTGCATGTGGACGCCTGGTTGACTCGGCCAAGTACCAAATGACGAACTGGTCGGATCATGATAAGTGGTTGTTGAGGGCTGTTCAAGGCCTAGGAAGCTCGGATCCTGGTAGTCGTAGTTTGTGAAGAATGGCGGCGTGTTCTGCTCATCTGTGTTCTCTTGCTGTTGGCCGGATGAAGACCCTGCCGGGTCATGGTTCGGATACTGAGACATCTCGCGTGGGTAGCAGTTGACAGCTGGCGAGGAATTCGAACAAGTGCGATCGAAAATAAATGTACGGTAGAACGGCTATGGTGTGGGATATGGTCTGTTGATAAAATGGAGAACCTGAGAAGAATGATGAAGATAAGTCCGTTGGGAATCTGAAACATTGCCTCGGGGAGTTGTACTTATATACCGCGCATGACAGGAGCAGATCCCCCGAAAAATCACGTCATGAGCAAGTTCTCTCCTGCCAGTCCACAGCTGTCTCCTGCCGTGCTGGTTAGGTAATGTGACTTCAAACGGAAGGCGAAGGGAGAAGCGGGGGCGTGATTGAGAAGTACATGCTCACCGCAGTACCCAGTTGCTTGGTGATACTTGACTTGTATCTAGTAGCTCCTTCCTATGTCCAAGAGCACATCATGTCTTCAAACAATCCGACCACAAGCATACCCGAAAGAGTCATAAGAAATCGAGAAAACGGGAAGGTGTCTTGCATGCAGTACACTGGTGGGCTGGTATGCCTGCGTTGGACTTGGAAGTACTAGCTGCTGTCTCTGGAACACCCAGGAAAGAGAGAACAGAGCCAGGTACATGGAATGATCACATTTTCTTGGAGCAAAGGTGAAAGTTTGGTACAAGTCTTGTTTGGGTGCCAGTAGTATGAACATAAGGTATCTGGGCTTAACAGGGAGGAAGAAAAGAAGGTTTACCGTAGGAGGATTTCGCTCCTCAAACAACCGCCATGTGGATTTGCATCCCCTTTTCGGTCTTCCAGACAACCGCCGTCTCCGGTGCCACAAAGAAGATGGAACCCTCCTTCAAGTCAAATGTCTTGCCATCAGCCAGCATTGTCCCTTCGCCACTTGTAACAATCAACACGCCAGGCCCATCGCTCGGCGCAATCTCATCGCTCTCCCCAGCTCCTAGGTCAGCCTTGAGCATATCGAACTCGCTCATGGGCGGCTTATACACCACCGTGCGCCCCTCCTTGCTCTTCTCGCTCTTCTTGCTCGGCAGCAGCATGTCCGCCGCGGTATGCGCTTGGAACGTCAGCGTCTCGGAGAACAAGTCGTAGCTGTTGCGGTCGGCGGGAGGACAGAACCCGGCGTTGAGCACATTGTTGCTGCGGGCCATGCACTCGACAATGTCACCCGACAGGTAAGCGTGGATACCATCGGCGGGGATGTAGATGGAGTCACCGGGCTGGAGCACCATGAAGTTCATGCAGAGGAGGGCGACGAGAGTTCCCGGATCCTTGGGGCCGTACTGATCCTGTAGACGAGGAATCAGATCGGGGATGTAGGCATTCTTGGGTCCGAGATCTTCCTTGGAGGTCTTGAGAAGCGATTGGGCGACAAATTCTACGCTAGACTCTTCAGCCTTGAGCAGACTTCGGGTAATCTCACGGAGGGTGACGTCGGTCCAGGTGTCGGTGGTCCCTGCGGGAACATACTGGCGGAGGAAGGAAAGCTGGAAGAGAGGCACAATGTCGGAAAGAGGCTTCCATCCGGCAAAGACTTCGAACTTGGACAGAGCCACGGCAATTTCCGGCTTATGATTGGGATCGGTAAAGTTCTCGGGGTCCTTCTTGTGGAGCTTTGTCGCAAGCTCCTTGTTGGGGTGGATTTGGAGCGGGAGGGCTTTTGCGATGGAAAGGATCTGGAGGAGGTAAGAAGTCAGCACGAGGGGTCCAAGCTATGAGTACCTCTACGTTTACGATCCGAGTAACATATTGAAACCATACCTTTGGCAAGTACGGAAGTTGGCCGTCGAGGTTATCAATAACCTTCTTTCCCAGCAGCTGCTCCTTGTTCTTTTCTAGCATGTCTTTCAGGGGCTCTCCCGTATCGAACTTCTTTGCTGGAAAGTCGGGATAATCGCCGAACCACATTTCCGAGTAGAACTCATCGTCTTTGATCTGGAAGCTCTTGTCGGTCTTTGCGCATAGTTGAGCGGCTAGCGACTGTTTTCCCTTTTTGCCCCAAGGGTAGTTGTTGCAGGAGCCTGTGAGCTGGAAAACGTGTTCGGGAGTGGTGACGGTCATGGTGTCGTGAGGTGGAGGGTTTAGATGGCGTTTTCAGCGAGAATGGCAGTATGAATTGGGTGCAGGAAGTAAAGCTGTGAGAGTACAATGGTTGTTGTCTCAACGAGTATACCGAGGCAAGTCGAGATGGGGATGCGTGGTGTTGTTAATGGCCAAAAGACAAATGTATGTCGTCACCACTTCTGCGAGCATCCCATCTGTAAGTGGGGCCAGGGGATCAGTCCTTAACAATTATGTACTTGGCATCATCAGATGAACTGTACCGGTGCACGCCCAGCATCGGCGTTCATCCGATATACAAGTCTAGAACCATTTCGTTCTGCGATCCATAAGCTCCAACTAAACCATTCATTACCAATTCTTAATTTCCAAGTCAGCGCGTAACAAGATCAAAGCACCGAGTGCTGTTTTGCCAATGTCAGTCTACGGCTGGAAATTGTTAGGACGGGATAGTGCCTTGTTGACGGATGGTTCCTTGCAGCTGGCGGCCACTTGTTGCAGCGGCTTGGCATGACGTATAAGTGTTAGTACAGCCGATGCTTGTTTGCCCAGCACTCTGCGCCGGGCAGGCAAGAGAGACGACAAACAAACTAGGGACTGCCTCTGTGAGTGTCCAGATAGTTTTAAATACAATTGCTTCGTGGAGAATGAGCCAGAAAACAAGTAATCCGGGTTGATGGAGAAGCCTTTGTGATACGAAGCTGAATCCAAGTTGGCATTGCAGATCCGGAACCCTGGAATCTGTCAGCTTTGCACTAACACCGCCCAGCGTCGTCACAGTGGCAGGTCCCCAATGGTTCCAGTGGTCCCCCAGCGGTCCCCTTTCTTGGCGCCATTGATGTCATAAGTCCCGTCCCGTCGACCCTTTCCCGTTCGGACGGGAGTCGTCCTTGTCCAACCTTAGCACCGCTTCCAGACTCCCGTCCCGTCGTCATGGCATCTCTCTCTCGGGATGCTGGGATACCTGATGCCCCGCCCATGTGTCTGGACTCTTCCATCAAAGTACCACACTCCCCCTCCAGGACCCCAGAAGACTTCAATATCAGACGACTCCCAGCCCTTAACATTTTCAACTAATCCTCCCCTCCTTCCATTGATCATACCCGGTTTCGCTACCTCTGCTTTATTACTCCTGCAGACATAACAAAGCCTTCAACGACTACCACAACAACCCTAGATGTGGTAACGAAACCCGCCATCATGCTGGACGAAAACTTGACTGAAAAGAGAGCCGATCCCCTCACCGGGGAGAAGGAAGAGAATCCCATCACCGGCGACACGGGTCCTGGTACAGGACTTAAGGATCTCCTGCCTCTGCCCGCTGAAAATGCCCAGGATATCCTGCAATCCAAGAAGGCCTTTGACAAGTCAGCAGGCGGTCTTGAAGATGGTCATACGCTTTCCCATGCCCTGGCCACCGAGGACCACAAGCTAAAGGGCGCCGCCCAGCTTGAGAGCGAAAAGGAGGTTCGCAACCTGGGCTGGAACGAACCCAAGCAGGAGATTGCTGCCCCTCTGGTCGGCGGTATTGACAATGAGGAGCTATGGCTGCTCGTCCGCCGCTTCAACAAGGCAAGTAAACCACACAAGCTACCCATCGGGTACTATCTGGAAGTCAAGCCTCCGTCTAACACTTACCACAGCAAATCATCCACAACAAGGCAGTGGTAACTCCCGTGCCCGGTGGCCTGGACCTCAACACGGCGGAGGAGGAAGAATTCTCTCCCGACAAGATGCGCGCTAACATCGAGCGTCTCTACACCACCGTCGTAGTTGGCATCCTCGCCGCCGTTAAGCACGTTGCTCGCCTCCGGTCCTGGCGCGAGAAGAAGCGAACAGCCTGGTTTGCCGGAGTCTACTTCGTCGCCTGGCTCTTTGACTTTATCATGCCCCTCATCACCGGCGTGATCATTGCGCTCATTGTCTATCCCCCCACACGCGAGCTGCTCTTCCCGCCAGCACCCATCGCCCTTGTTGACTCCAACACTGGTGGCGTGCAAAAGCCGTGGGCGGGCACCCTCGGTAGCAAGGACAGTGCTACTGGTGCCCCCGAGAATCACAAGGGCGAGGCGGTTGAGCAGGAAGCTGATAACTTGGTCAACGGACTCGCTGAGCTCGCTGTGAGCAGTGCTGCGGGTAAACATCCTGCGGGAGATGGTGAGTTCATTCAGCTAACACCTTGTCTCTCTTTCTCTCTGACCATCAGACTGCTGACATTGGGAATACAGTCCAAGATAAGACCAAGAAGCCCATGGAGCTGGCCATGTGGGCCAAGCTTCGACCCTTGATGCAGGTGGTCGGTAACATCAGTGACAACTATGAGCGTCTCGCCAAGTAGGTTATCTCGAATCCTTCCTCACAGCCGCATAGTATGACTGGAATAACTAATCAAATACCAGCGCCCTATCCCCCACCCCTCCCTTCCCAAAGGACACCCACCGCCTTCGTCTAGCCACCCTCGTAATCCCCCTCTTCGGCGCCTCCCTCTTTGTGACCTCCTACATGTTCGTCAAATCCCTCACCTTCTTCTTCGGCTTCGGCATGTTCGGCGACCCCATCATCCGGCCCGGCATGGAATACCTCAACCGGATCATCCCCGACTGGCAAAAGCTTCTCGAGCTGCGCAACACCCTGCTCAAGGGCGTCCCCACCAACGCCCAGCTAACCCTCACCCTCCTACGCATCGGCGAAGCCAACAAAGCGCCTCTGCCCCCTCCCCCGCGCGTAGTCGAGCAACCAGTCCAAGACCCAGCCAACGGCCCGGCATCCCTCGACTCCGAAGCCCAAATGCGCGCTGAGGGAGCCGCCTACCCACTTGAAGCTTCCCCCTCCGAGCTGGACGAAGCAGCGCACACCGATCCCAAAGATGGCCTGCGAGAGGCCGGCTTCGACGTCGACTCCCACTCCAAGAACAAGCAGACTAAGAAATCCAACAAGGTGCTGGGGTGGATCAAGAACGTCACTGCCGGCTTAGTCCACACGGGCGGAGCAACCGATCACGTCCGCGCCAAGCTGGGCGCTCATCACGCCAAGGACCGGCTGGGTGTAGTGCCCCCCAAGGACGAGATCCCCGTCTCTGGCCCAGTCAAATTCGATTGTAGGTACAATGGCAAGAAGGGACACGTCTACATCAGCACGGCGGCGACGATCCCCAGCGTGGCGTTTGTTGCTGGGAAGGATGAGGGTAGTACCACGGTGATTGCGGGCAAGGAGAGGGAAGACCTGAAGCCGGTGTGGACGGTTGCGGTGGCGGATGTTACCGAGCTTAAAAAGGTGGGTGGGTATGGATGGAAGGCCAAGATTGTGGTGGATTGGAGTATGGAGAGGGAGGTGAAGGATGGGCTGGAGATTGTCACGACGGAGGGGAAGAGGTTTAAGATCACGGCTGTGCCGTTGAGGGATGAATTGTTTAATCGGTTGGTGGCGATGGGGGGGCAGAGGTGGGAGGCTTGGTAAGGTAGTGTAGTTTGTTTTATTCCATTTCTCGTTCGTTGCTTTGTATGACGTATTTGACGACGCGGAGGAGAAAGAAAGTGGAAGTGGTTGTTGTGGCCTTCCTTGTTTTTGTTCTTTCTGGACTGGACCGTGTAGTAATACCATGATGAGTTTATGAATACCAAATCTGACCTGCAAAAAACAACCAATAAAATGGCAGCTTTGCACAGCTGCCCGGCTAGCTCAATCGGTAGAGCGTGAGACTCTTAATCTCAAGGTTGTGGGTTCGACCCCCACGTCGGGCTCAATTCCCGATGTTCCTACTTGTAGGACAACATCTCTTTTTTCGTCTTTTTGCTCTCTCCCACCTACCTTACTAAATATCGGCCTTTTTTTTTCCTGGTTTCTTTTGCATAATATTGAAAATCGGTTGTTGTGGACTCGACGCCCAGAGGAGCTGCCTAGTTTCACGGTTTCACCGGCATGTTTTTTTTTTTTTTTTTCCCGAGCACCACCAGGCTCGCTAGCCTGAGTCAGGCAATGGTGTAAACAAACCCCTGAATAGTGACCACTGGTAATAAGTCCAATGCTAGATAAAAGTACATCCATACCTCTACACTCTTCGCACTTACATGTAAACCCATGTTCAAATTCGCTTCCATAATCTCGAAGTATGTCCCTAACCATTTTGTCTACATATGGTAGGTACCTGTATTGCCTGGCTATGCGCTGTCTACCAAGCTCGAGTCCGATATTTTGGATATCAACCCTTCAGCCCCAGCTCTACCTGGCCTCAAATTTTTGATCCACGTTGCCTGATCCATCTTTCCTTATGACAACTAGTTCATGATTCATCCGACGACCACCTGAACAGGTAGATCAGGACCAGATCCGATCCAGCCAAGTCCATCAGATTCTACCAGCACCAATACCAGCAGCACCAATACCAATACCAGCACCACCACCAGCAGTCCCAGTCCCAGCACCACCAGTCCCAGTCCCAGCACCACCACTCCAAGCCCCCCCACCAGTCAACCAAACAGGCCTCAATCCCCTATCCACACACTCCCAATACTCACGATTGACAGCGTACTTAACCGCCGTCTCGATATTGTTACTATGGCAGAAGGCCGTGATAGCACTGATGTCTCTTGCCTTTTGTGTGGGACTGCGCGAAACCATGTCCAGGGCGCTGGGGGAGTAAATTTGGCTGTCGTAGCTGTTGCTGTCGTTGGGGCGTTGCTGTTGTTGGGGGTGGTCATGCTCCGGGGGATGCCGGTGGGGATATTGGTGGGAGGGATGTTGGTTGAGTTGATGGTTAGGTTTGTGGTGCTGTTGTTACTGTGGTTGGTATGTTTGGTGTGGTGGTGGTGCTTGCGGGTCTTGTTGGTAGAGGTAGAGGTAGAGGGGCGTTGAGTCTGACTCTGGCCACCGGCACCGGGACTGCGAGACTTGGATGATCGGGGTTGGCCTCTCGTAATCAGCTGGCGGAACCAAGAGGTTCGTCTTTGGTGCGTCTGGGTAGTGGGTTGGCGGGCGCTGGTATCTCCGCTGTCTTTGTTTTCGTGGACTTTCTTGGTGTTCTGGTCCTCGTCCTGTAGTGGCTCAGGTTTGGAACTATGGAGTGGGCGACACACATAGCCCAGCTTCTGCACCCTCTTCTCTAAAGCGTAAACATTGCTCATCCCGATCCTCCTGCACCGTTTCGCGGGAATGACTTCCACCCCAAGGGATGCTAGATACCACTGAAAGGACAAATCAGGATCAGGGTCGGCGGAAGCGGAAGCGGAATGTTTGTCCTTGCTGCAGCTGTCATCGCCACCTTTGGCACTGTTCAAATCGTTGAACAAACGTGACGAGTGCTCACCCGAGTCGACGACGTAAAGCGTCTCCAGACGTAGTACCTGGCGCAAGTGCACCGGGAGATTGGCCCTCGCCCAGATGGTCGATTGCGCTCGTTGGCGGCCGATTTCGAGAACCTGAAGGGCGCAAGTCAGGGGGTCGATGAGGTAATAAGGGAGTTTGGTCTTGTCGGAGAGATTGGGATTGGTGGCTCGCCAGTGAGTGGTAACGTCGCGGATCCAGTCCGATGCCGTGCGAGGCATTGTTAATTTGAATTGTCGCTTAGATGGCACAGACTCGGAGCTCGAGGTGGAGGAAGCTTGGGAAAAGACGGTAGAGGCTGTGGTGGTCAGGGTATCAAGACTGGACTCCGAAGGGGACGTGGAAGATGTCGGCGAAGGGGTGATTGATGATGCCGACGAGGCCAATGGCGAGGAGGAAGAGGATGACAGAGACCAATTACTAGATCCAAGCTCTCCCGGTTTCTGAACAATGTAAAGCTTGGGTACTTCCTCTCCATCGCCCTGTGATTGACACAGCTTGCTGACAACACGGACATCCCGGTCCCATGTCTTTAGGGATGGCGGCGAGAAGAAAATGATGGAAGTAATGCGAGTGACGGGAGACTCGAAGTCTTTCTCCGAGCTTGTGGTGCTTGTAGGACTGACAGGAACATATGCCACGGTCCGCTCACTATGCTTGACCGGGATGTATTGGCCCTGGACAATATCGGGAGTCGAAGGGGTTGTTGACGTCGGTGACTCTGTATGGCCACCTTTGTTCGCTCCCTCTTTATTTTCCTCGAACCCAGCTTGCTTCTCTGACGCAACGCCGTCATCTTCTGTACTTTCCTCGTCGATCTTATCCTCCGGGGAAAAGCAAAGACCCTCGACGACCTTCATATCATCGAATGGGCAACTCAGCCTGCTCCTCAAGCTCAGAGTCGGCTTCGTCGGCTTCAGGTGTTGTCCCTGGGTCTGGTTCTGCTTTAGGCCCAGGTCCTCCTTCTCCACCACCACATTCACCTCTCCCTTCTCCTCATCCTCCTCCTTCCGCTCCTCCTCAACCACCTCCCTCCTCCCCCACATCCTCTCCACCTCCTCCGCGTTCACCACCCTCTCCGCTTGAAACCCCAACATCCTTGCCATCTCCCTGTTCCTCTCCTCATCGTCACCAATGACCAAAGTCCCCGTCACCTCTTTCTCCTCGTTTCCCCCCTTTTTACCATCTTTCCCATTGGTGACTAAATGTTGACCCTGTGCAGCAACACTCCTCAAAAGCGTCCACCTCCCCACAACCTTCATCGGACAAATCGGATCCTTCAACCCCAGAACCCTAGAAATAGTATTCGCTACTTCCTCTTCTGAGGCGAACTCGTTATCGAATCCATCGTCTCCTCCATATCCCGACGACGCCGTCTCAGGTTCCCAGATAATAACAAACGGTATACCCACCGCTTGCAACTGAGCAATCGTCTCGCCTGCCGACGGCCGGGGAAGCAGTACCGTATGCTGGCGGAGGGGGTTGGGGTGGTGGTGGTGTGACTGTGACTTTGTCGGGTTGATGATGATGTTCTGGTTCCAGGTGGAATCGGAGCCGGAGCTGGTGTAGCCCGAGATAGAGCTGCTATCAGAAACGGAGATAGGGGACCAGCTTGTTGAGTCGCTATTGGTGCCGTTGCTGTTGGTACTGATGCTAGACGGGCTTCCAGTGCTCCTGGGACGGTAGACGAGGGTTGAGACGTGGAAGATGAAGGCTGTTGTTGTTTGTGCCTGTTTCTGTGTCTGGGTTTGGGGTCGTGTTTGGTGTCGTGAAGTGGGGATAGGGATAGTGGTAGCGGTCGTGGGAGTGGTGTGATTGTCGGCGCCAGAGATCGTGATGGTGGGGGTTGAACTGGCCATGATTGTGATTTGTGATGCTTGTGGTCGCGGACCTGCCGACTGCCTCCTGTCGCCTGCCTGTTGCCTGTCGCCTGCGAGCCTGGGCCCGTAGCCCCGTGGAGTGGTGAGAAGGTTGAGGTGGTCGATTCGGGGGTTGAGACTGACAGGCGATTAGGTAGCTGAGGCGGGCTGCGATGGTTGGAGGGTTCTGCCTTCGGTGCTGAAATGAAAGAGGACGGGTCGCGAATGCCTAGGGGTAGCTATAAGTAATCGCCTGTCGATCAGCGTTGTGATGATATCGACGAGCAATTGAGTCGAGCAATTGAACACTCGAATTGCTCAATGACGCGGATGGAGAAGTCGAGTTCGAGTTAGTTTGGAGTCTGTCTCTCCCCAGTGTGGGAAATTAAAAAGGCTGAAACCTGCCACAGTCCTGAACGCCCACACTGCTCAGGCACCCATCGTAACTTCCATGTTGGAACAGTGCGTCATTCACTCGAGAAGCGGTCGGGGACGAGACGGGATGAAATATTCAAGACGAAAATATCGGACGAACAGGACATCCCCAAAAGCCGCTGAAACTTCACTTGCGGCCAAGCCTGGGCTGACAAAATAAACATGAAACTTGCACATTCCAGTAACAAACTTATACCAGGGTGCATACGCAAACACCAAAATTTACCTACCTATCATACATTGCTACATTTAATAATCAAACTTAGTACCCATTAGCCTTCAACCAGCTCTTAACAACCTCAGCATCCCTAATCTTGTACGACGCCCGTCCCCTAATCTTATCCTTGACCTGCTCCAACGTCCTGTCGAAGCCCTTGGTGCTGACCTTGCTGAAGAAGTCCTCGATATCCTTGAGCGTCTCGAGATCCGCAAACTTGGGCAAGCTGACGTTGACCATGCGGTCGACAAGGATGGGGTTACCGCCGAGCTTGGCGTTGAACTTGTCCCAGTTGTCGCGGAGGTAGGCCCAGAGCAGAGGGCGCGCGATGCGGTTACCGGCCAAGTTACCAGCGAGAATGTGCATATCGGCGCCGGGAACCGAGTCTCTGGGGTGAGCGGGGGGCGCAGAGTCGAAGAGGAAGGGCAGGAGGACATCCTTGATGAGGGCCTCGTCGGTGACCTGGCCGAGGGCTTGGAGGCAGACCTCCTTGCCGTCGATGGCGGGGGTGGTGAACCACTCGTGCTTGATGGCGGCAACGGCGTTGGCGGGGTCCTTCTTGATAGCAGCACGGTAGACGGGAAGACGGAGATCAGCAGGGATGGGAGCACCGCTAGGGTTGGCGCGCCAGTCGTTCCAGCGCTTGAAGGCTTCATTAATGACCTCCTCGTGCGAGTTGGCGACAGCAGTGAGGAGAAGGCGCTTGCGGAGAAGAGGAATGTTGTAGTTCTCGCCCTCCTTAGGCTCCCAGCCGACCTCCTTGAGAGCCTTGTCAATAAGCTCCAGAGTGAACTTCTCGAGACCCTTCTTGACTTCCTCGTCATCACCAAAGATGGACTTGAGAGTGTTGACCGAGTCCAAAGCCTGGCTAAGAACACGGTAGTGGGTCTCGTTCTTCAGACCATGGACGAAAGACAGCAGAGCGGCGGTGGTGGAGTTGCCAGCAAACGCGAGATCGGCCGCAGAACCAGTGATGAAGATCTTGTCCTCGGTAGTGAGATGAGCGAGCTGAGTGCCCAGAGTCTTGAGACGAGACTCGGGGTAGTTGACGCGGTAGAAGCCAGTGGCGTTGGCATTGAGCAGGTAGAAGTCTTGGCTGACGCCGTCGATGGTAGTCTCCTTGGTCTGGAAAGACAGAGGCTCAATATCCTGGGAGCCAACCTTGCCCTTGAGGGACAGAGGGATCCACCAGGTGGTCTTGTCATCCTCAGGCTTGACATCGCCGGTAGAGAGGAAGCGGGCTTGCTTGGCGGAAATCTGGTCCTGGCCCTCGGTAACGCTAACAACAGGGAAGCCAAGCTCCTCAATCCAGGGGCGCATAATGGTGTTCACATCGACACCAGAGGCCTCGCTCAAAGCGTTCCAGAGTGCCTCAGTCTTGGCATTGCCGTAAGCGTGGCGCTGAAGGTAAAGGGCAATACCCTTGAGGAAGGTCTTAATACCAAGGTGCGAGGCCAACATGCGAATCATGGAGCAACCCTTGAGGTAGCTGATCTTGTCGAAAATCTGGTTCACATCGAGAGCGTCGCGAACCTCGACCTGAATGGGGTGCGAAGCGCGGACAGAGTCGAGGAGGAAAGCCTGGTCCATGCCCTCGTTGATGAATTGCGGCCACACCTCCCAGTCAGGGTGGAGGTGATCGGTCGCAAGCCAACCAGCCCAAGTAGCGAAACCCTCGTTAAGCCAGAGCTCATCCCACCAATCCATGGTAACAAGGTTACCGAACCACTGGTGGGCAAGCTCGTGAGCAACGACGTAGGCGATACGGTTGCGGAATCTGGCCTCGGAAAGCTTCTCGTCGAACAGAATAGCGGTCATGCGGTAGGTGACGAGACCCCAGTTCTCCATGGCGCCGTGGGTGAACTCATGGACAGCCAGGATATCGCTCTTGGGAAGAGGATAGTCGATCTCGAACTGCTCCGAGAAGTAGTCGATAATCTTGGGGGCGTGCTCAAGGGCCCACCTGCCCTGCTCCTTGAGGCCGCGGGTGGTGTAAACACGGACGGGGAGCTTCTTGCCGTTGTACTCGCGGTCGGTGCAGGCCTCGACGTACTCAAAGTCGCCAACGGCCCAGGCCAGGAGGTAGGTGCTCATGACAGGGCTGCGCTCGAAAGAGACGAGCTTCTTGTTGGGGCCGGCAGGCTTGGTTTCCTTGACGGGCATGTTGGAGAGGGCGACCTGGTCTTCGGGGATCTCAATGGCGAAATCGAAGGTGGCCTTGAGGTTGGGCTCGTCGAAGCAGGGGAAGGCGCGGCGAGCATCGCAGGACTCGAACTGGGTGCTGAGCATGTAGTGGAACTCGTCGTCGCGGGGGACGCTGGCGGCCGCAGGAGCAGCAGGCTTGTACTGGGAGCGGTAGAACCCGGCCATGTCGTGGTTGAGCTCACCGGTGAACTCGAGGGTCAGGGAGACATTGTCGGCGACGGGGAGCTCCTCGGCGAAGGAGATGGTAGAGCGCTGGGCCTTGGTGTCCTCGGCGAACTGGGTCGACTCCCATGATTGCTGGCCGGCCGTCAACTTGGCGTTGAGGAGCTTGATTTCGAGGGTGTTAAGGACGATGTCCTTGGTGGGCTTGACGAGGTTACCGTCGATCCTGGATGTTGTCGCAAGTCAGATCGCGCCAAAGGAAGGGGCTCCGGAAACTTGGAAGTCTTAAGCGTACCTTACGGTGCCCTTGTAGGACCACGAGGCGAAGTCGAGATCGCGGATCTCGAGATCATAGTGGGTGGGCTTGAAGTTGTCGGGGAGAATGTCGCGGTCCGTCATGTTTTCTCGGCGTTTGGCTCTGGCGTGGGCAGAGCAGTAGCGGGATCCAAGAACAAGAAACGGGGGAGGAACAGCGGAAGTCTGAAGCTTGGGGCGATGACGAGTAGTTGTAGGTCTTGTGGAAGTCCTGGGCGAAGAAGAAGAGGGGACCGACGACGACGACGACGAGATAGAGTGGAACCGAGAGACCTGCTGAGTGACAGAAGATGGACGAATGACGAAAGAAGGCGCTGTAGACGAGGAGGAGGAGGAGGACGCTAGCAGCGGGCGGGAAGCTGCAGTGCGGGTACAGCTTGGCCGAGCAATCGCTTGGATGTGAGTGCGGGGTGACTTTGTTGTTGTTGATAAAGTTCTGGTCGAAAGAGTCTTCCACCTGCCAATGGCAACTGCATTGGTCTTTGTTCTCACCGCTGCCAAATGCATTTTGTTTCCAATAACCAATTCCTCAACAAATGATCACAGCCACCTTGAAACTCTGAAGCAAAGCTCTGTTTCCAATTGCTGTCCAGCAGGGACACTGTGCTGTGGTCTCGAAGCTCAACCCTGGAAAGACTTTCCAATGTCTCCACCAATTCAAACCACAGCACCGGGCAGCTTCCACTTCCACTTCGGTATTTTTTTTCTATCTCATATAACCCCACCGCAAGGCACAAAGCAGATAGTCAATTGGATGGCAGTGTGGGATCAGACCGTGTGAAACAGTGAGTAAAAGAGCTGTCGTCAAATGTGCTGCGGTTTGCGTCGGGAAGCACCGAAGAGTACCGAAGAAATTCTGGTGGATGCTTCTTTTTCCACTTCCACTTTTCTCAATGTCAGCTCACTGGGCTGTCGCCGGGAACCGATCGATCAGACAAAGTCTCCCCGAGAAAGAAAAGATGGAGTAATGAAAAAGAAAGAAAAAAAAAAAAAGTCAAAAGGCAACTGCCAATTCAGGACGTTGACCTCTCGGAAAACATGACAAGAAGGGAAGGCGGGAAGAATCTCGAGCAGCCGAGCTTCCCCTGCTTCCCCTCCTCAGCCCCTCCTCACGCGTGGAAGGTGGGTCCGTTCAGAGTGCTGACTTTTGATGGGGTCCCGCTTTTAGCGCATAAGGTGGGGTCCATCAGCTGTTGAGCCGCGGATCTAGAATGCCGAGAGAAGAGTTTCGACGGGAGAGTTCCTTCGTGAAGTTTGAGGGATTGGCCGTTACGATAATTTGAATCCAAGCTCGGTATGTTACGTAGAGTGAGCTGGTTTCAAAAATAGTCCTTCATGAAGCCCAAAGCAGTCATCTCTTTAGTGACAAACGATCAAGATTCAGGTAAAAGTAACGATGTACCGCTTTTTCTCGTTCGATTTGGATACCCTCAAAACAGGTATAGCACCGGGTATATCTGAACCCAACAGGGGCTTCAACCAATCTGTTAGTGAGTTAATACGGGTCACAACCGATCGCAGGTTTGCCAACGTGGATCAGTTGGTTCCTTGGGAACGATCCAGTAACAGCATTGGTGGGATTGTGTTAGGCTTTGCTGGTTTTGACCTTAGCGCAGTTTGGGGGTATCCAAATCGAACGAGAAAAAGCGGTAATACTGTGGACTTTGAGCTAAGCTTCAACCGCGATAATGACCCTAACCCTGCCCTTATATAAACCCGATAAGCGATGGGTGGATGTCCCTCAGCGCCAGGACTGGAACATCTCAGCCCGACTTCGACATCCATATAAAAGAATGCCTTGGGTTTGTATATATGATCCTTCCCAGCTCACTCCCTTTGGCAACAGATATTGTCCACGTAAAGTGAAGATCCCGATTCAATGATATCAAGCTGACTTTCAACCAAGCCACGAGACCAAAAATGAACCTTACCCACTGCCCATTCTCCCGTACCGTACCGTACCGTAAATCCGTTATCGGTATTCCCAGGTTTGTGCCCCCTCGCCAGTAGCCCGTGATATCAACCTCAATGGCCCCATAGTTCAAACCCGTGTTCAGCATCCGCAACGTATCCCGAATGTCAATCTACATTGGCACCAAGGAAATCAAATGAAAACAAAATAAAAATCAAGCGGAAAGGCAGGACGAATCAATGGCAGAAGTTCAGACCCGAGACGCTCTCAAGAACTTACCTACCTGCCTCCTTTATCCTCAGACATTCTTCCAATCATGAGCAGTCAAATTGCCCTCCAACATCCTCTCCGCCGTCTCCCTCGGATCTGCTTCGCCCGTCGGCGGCGTCATCGGTGACGACACATCCATCGGCCTCAGCTGAAACTCCGAATAAGTCTGGCTATGCTGCTGCTGCTGCTGCTGCTGCTGCTGAAGTTGATGATGTTGATACTGCTGAAACGGGTACGGATGATGCTGCTGCTGATTCGACCTCGGTCTCTCTTCGCGGTAATGACGGCCAGCCGAGGTGGGAGAATAATTCTGCGGAAGCGGCAAGGGACCGGTAGCCGTGGTATCGACAAAATCCTCGTCCATCGGCGCAAACTGGCTCCGGACGCGGGCAGCAGCGGGATTGTGATCGCGGTCAAAGGCGACGCCATCCACCATTCTGGCATCACGGCGTTCATTAAACACTGCCGATTGGCTGGCGGGTGTGGAGTCGTTACCGCCACTACCGCTGTATTCGCGGTCCTGGAGCATACCCCCTTCGCGACGGATGATGTCGCGGATGACGTCCCTTCCTCCACCACCAGCGCTTCCTCTGCCGATGCTACCACTGCTCGTCGGGGGTCGACCACCGCCGCCGCTGCCACCGCTGCCGGCCATCATATCTGACAATCCGGAGCTGCTCCTCTCCAGTCCCCATCCCGGAGGACCACCGGGAATCTGTCCAGGCAACGGACGTCGGTGGTATATCGGTCCACTAACCGTACTTCCCGCGCCCTCTCCGAAGCCCACCAAGCTTTCCCTACCATCATCGTAGTCGCTCATCCTGTCCTCGAAGGTGCCAACACTCCGAGTAGCCAGGTTCTCCTCGTCATCCTCCATGGCGTCAGGGCCGGTGGCGTACCCGCTGGCCGGAGGACTAGCCGTCGGCATATCTGTGTCGTTGTCACGGGGATCAAGGTTCATGGTCATGCTCTGGTCATCGCCGTCATCGAGATCGGGGGCGGTCTCGGTGTTGGTCCCGGCGTGGGAGGTGGCGGAAAGCGAGGCGGTGGTGGTGCCCTCGTATGCCGAATCGGTGGCCGAGGCGGAGCCGACCGTGGACATTTTGGTTGCAGCTCTGGGCTGGCCTGCCGCGTCAAAGTAGGCTGGTGTTACCGGCACATTGGGGTTGTTCTGTTGGTTTTGTTGTTGCTGCTGGTAGTATGAAGACTGGCCATATGGGTTAGTGTTCATGCCTTGTTGGGGAGTGCCGGTAGAGCCGGAGGACTGTACACCGCGGAGGGCGGACATCATGCCCGGGAGACGGCTTATGCGGTCGTTGCGCTCGGCTTCGGGGTTGGAAGGGGGGTTTCGGGTGTAGTCGCCGCTGAAACGGTTACTTGTATGCGGTCCGCTTCCATGATGGACATGGCCACGGTGGCCGTCCTTGATGGCGGTTGTGGAGAGGGTGGAAAGCGAGGTGGTGGTGCTGGTTGGGGTGCCACTGGGGGTATATGATTGTAAGCCTATCGTGAAACTTAAAGTTTGTCTGAGAAAGGAAGCACAGAAGCACCGGCCACGGCGCAAGCAGAGAGAATGGTGGGCCTTAATATAAAAAAAAGTCAAGTAAACTCACGGCATCTCAGACGGGGTGTCCGGATTGGAGGGCGGTTGGGGCAGGTTCGCCAAGGTACCCGTAGGATGCGATTGTTGCGACATGATTGCTGAATCTGATCTGATTTTGAGAGAGCGAGTCGAATGATTGGTCTTGGTTGTCGCGTCTTGGAGATCCGAATGATATCGTGGGAATCGTACGGCAGAGATCGGTGAACAGTAAACACGGAAGTTGTAGGTAGCGAACCACAACGTCGCGACGATAGGTAGGCACGTAGCTGATACTACACAAGCGCTGATCGACGTCGTTGTGTTGGGATGTGCGGCGGGCGTGTCAGGTGCTCTTTGTTGTTGAAAGGAGCATGGAATCCAGGAGAGAAGAGGTGGAAGGGAAATGACGTCGGGGTAAGTCCCCTGAACTTGTCACCTGCCAAGATCCCGACAGCTAATTAGACCGTGCAAACGAGAACCTTGATGCCCGGCACGTGTGGGGCTCAGCCTCACTAAACCGCAGCTGGTGATCCTGGGGCGGCCACTGTAGCCAGCTGCTCAGCAGTTGATATGCATGTGCGGGGCTGATTTATGCTTCGAGTATTGCTAAATACACCATGCTACCATGTTCCCAATCACCCCAAAACCAAAACATCCAGGGCACCGAGGACACCTCGGTCATCGACGGAACTCCTGATGATCATCACCCATTTTTCATTCATCAACCTTGTTCGCTTCTTCGCCTTGCTATTGAAGCTTCATCCACTACCTACCAGCACTACCAAGCGAAAACATCAAAACCTTCCTCGCCAACCATGCTCATTCAGCCTTTTCATTCTTCGCCCTGTTGCTGTTCACTACCACGACAACCACGACACCCAAACGATCAAAACTCCCCCGGACTAAACTCAACAACCTGCCTCCCCTCCACAAACCCCTCAATGCTCTCCACAAACTCCCGACGCGCCGGGTCTTCTTCCAAGTAGAACTTGCGGTCTTCGGGCGTGTCGAATTCGCTTACGAAGACGTGGGAGATGCGGCCCTGCTTTTTTTTACCACCTTGATTTCAGCATACGTACGTCCTTTCGCGAACGAACGAAAGAAAATATGCGATACTCCCCGTGGTCTGGTCTGGTCTGTGTAGTGGAAGAACGGGGTGAAAGGGGTGAAAGGGGTGAAAGGGTGAAAGGGTGAAAGTGGACACGGTCGTGAAGGGGAGCGAGCTAAGTAAACTGAACCAACCTTTCCCTCAGGACAAACATTCGCCCCCCCTACCGCCGTCTTGAGGTACGGCATGTGCGTTTTCGGGTGGGTGCAGCGGTCTTTGAGGGACATCATTCTGTCGCAGACCTTTTATTCCACCAACCAGAAACTGTCAGCCAGCAAGCAGCCTTGGTGTTAAACATCGCGGGATGGTTTGTTGTTGTTGTGGGTAGCCGTTGAGTCGGAGGCGGAGTCGAGAGGATGGGGGAGAAGGGGAAGAAGGGGAAGAAGGGGGATCACTTAGAGGTAAGGATCTATTACTCGCCTCCTGAACTTCCTCCTGTGTCGCCAGGGGTTTGAACTCAAAGAGTTCGACGTGGACGATACCCATTGTTTATTTTGTTCGGTGTACGTAAGCTAAGTATGCTCAGTTCAGTTCTCTGGCAAAAGTCAAGTGATTGTCGAGTTCAAGGCGAGGGAGGGGAATATGATCTTATATCAGGCCGGGAAGCTTGAAGGTATACTAATGGTGAAGGTGGTGAGTTGTGCGCTCGAGCTCCCTGTCCTCACATGTGTTCCCCTTATTACATCACTTCAGCATCAGCACCATCAACAACACAAAAAGAGTCCCGTGCTTTTGTTTCCTTTGCGTAAACAACACAGTTTCCCGGGCAACTATCAATACCATTCACCACCAACCGATCAACACTGCACTGCCAGCCAGCCAGTATAGTTGCAAGCCTCAGTCAGTCACTTCCAGCCTGGCAAGATCATACACACAATTTTCACTTAAAAGCAAAGGTGTTGGCTACGTTATTGGTTCGATTATAATTCATTGCTGCTAACCTCATTGCTCATTCATGCCCGATTAGCTTGATGATCGCTTAACCCTTCGAAGTTAAAGTATGGTACCGTATCTACAGCGAAACCCCGATGTTCGAATACGCCATGCCATATTTATCATCATGTAAGGCTGCCTGATGATGAAGCCTCCCAGAGTGAGTAAGCAAATCTCTTCTCGACTGAGATATCGTGGCTGTTGTCGTCAATCCACCTCATCATGCACCCAGCCAGCCGAGCGGCGGGTCTCTCAAATCCATCCCATCACATATCGCACTTTCAGAATCTCGGACGCAGCCCTTCATGGCTATCCAGAAAGTACAAAGGTTCAAGACCACGTCTACTTTGATAGTCTAAGGGGGTCTCGGACGCCCCAGACTTTTCGTAGTGACGACGGAAGATTTCCTTCCATGTAGGTGTAAGAATCTAGTTCCCGCTCAAAAAGAGTCTTGGGCTGCCCAGGACGGAAAAGAGCTATAACGTGTGACTTGGTCCACATGTGTGTGTGTGTTCCATTCATCATCGTCCAGCCCTTTCATGCACTTCCCCTTAATTCTCAAGCTCCTCCTACTCATCAACCAGCCTGCGAGGACGGTAGGTACCCAAGCCCAACCAACCTAAGCCGGCATCCCAGACGCCGCCCTACTCAGCCTCCTCAGTTGGTGCGGCATCACGCCATTAATAAGACCCTGAATGATCTCATCAATGATCTCGCCATCGCCCACGTTCTGCGCCCTTGTCCGGCGCAGCCAGTACTCGAACGGGCCGCGGTTCTTGGCCAGCGCGTACCCCAGCTCCGAACACCGCTCGGCCGGACTGTGCTCCGTGTGCATTTCCGTAAAATGCGTAATCATCTTGGAGATGTCCTTGAGCGGCCACTTGCAGGGGGCGGCGGGGGAACGGCCGGTTCCCGCCAAAAGATACTTGGGTGCTGAGCACAGGCGACACTTCCAATAACCGAGTCGCTGGAGCGCTGTGTTTTGCTGGTTTTCTTCATCGTATGGCGGGGAGTTGTTGGCGCCGTTGCCGTTTTGTTGGTGTTGGTGCTGGTAGGAAGGGTGGGAAGGGTGTAGGGGGATGTTGTATTCCCAGGTTCCCGGGGTGCCGTAAGGGAGTGGTTGGGGTGAAGACGAATTGCCGTTAGGACTGCCTGTCTCCCTCTCCCTGCCGGCGCCGGTGGTCATCACCTCGTCGCCGTCTGCATCCAACAACTGCGGCTCATCAGGGGTCAGCTTCGCCTTCTTGGCCGATCCCGTGGTCTTACCGCCGTCGTCGTCATCGTCTGACGGATCGCTCCGCTTCACACCCGCCACTCCCGCTCCGGCAAGTAACGAGGCCGTGTACGCCCGTCCACCACTCGAGGCGCTGTAGTTGGTAAACGGAATTCCCTGCCGGCGCAGCTGGACCTGGAGATTCTCGATCTTGTGCTGGCAGTGGCGGATCTGGTGGCCGAGATCAAGCTGGCGGAGCTGGAAACTGCGGGCTTCCTGGGGCGTGAGGTCGGGCATAGCCAGGGTGGCGGTGCAGAAGGCCAGGTCGTGCTGGTAGGCGTCGATGTCCTCGTGGAACTGACGAAGCTGGATCTCCTCGATGTTGTTGATGTTCTCGTATCCCGTGCCGATGACGCGTGAGGCTGCTGTGTATGCACCGCCTCGGGCCAAGGCTGTTATGTCGTTGTTCTTGCTGTTCTTGCTGTTCATGTCACTGTTTCCGTCGCTGGCGACAACCAGCGCTGTCTCGGTGTTCTTCTTGGGGGTGCCATTGCCGCTGAGTTTGCTTTCCTTGGTGTTAGTTGTGCTGGTGGTGGTGATGGGAGTGGTGCCGTTGGTCGTTGCGTCCGCGGCATTAGGTGTGCTGGAGGCGTTGGGCTCTTCTGCAGTGGCATTCGCAGCAGTCTGTGCCTGGTCCTTGCCTTTCTTAGAGGCACTGGCGGATGCACGAGGCGCGTTCATGCTGGCAGTTTTAGCTGTCTCCGGGCTGCGGGACTCAGTAGTGGCAGATGGACCACCGACGGACACGGTGATGGAACCGTTGGGAGTGTTCGCCGGCTCCTGGGCAGCAGCAGAAGTAGAAGCAGCAGCCTATGGTCGACGAATTAGTATGAAGTGTTCAGCAAGATGAGATGCACATGTGAGACCGCTCTTTATCATGAACGAAACGATGTTGGTGAGTGAATGATATGGGAAATCGGCTTGCTCCCAATGGTTAATTATATGTCTACTTTTTCTTCATGTTCACGCCCATGTCGTCCATGTGATATCGGTGTGAGATGGTGCAGAAAGTCAAACTGCAATGCCATGTTGACATCTTTTTTTTTCTCTCTCACTTTGCATCCGCAGCAATCACTCAGTCAATCAATGAAACCAATGAACCGCTGATTGCCTACCTTTCCCTTTGACACTGCAGCACTGCGCTCTGCTTCCCTCTGCGCGTTTGACGGGCGACCTCTTTTAGGCGGCATTGTTGCGGTCTTCAAGCGGGGCAGCGAGGATGGTGTTGGTGTGGTGTTGGTGGTGAGAAATGGTGGTGTTGTGTGGCCAAGGTTCCAGCTTGATTGCAATCGCGGGTTGTTGTCGGGCGAGAGTTGTCTTTTAAAAAGAAGAAAGAGAAACAAGCAAAAGAGGTTGCGTGCGGATGCAACTGTTATAGACGCCTGCTTGATGTGGAGATGTTGATGAGATGATTGCAAGTGAAAGGTTGTTGCAAACGTGGAGTGGTGGTGGTTGAGTGAATGGTGGAGGAAAAATGGGATGATGAGAGAGAAAGAAAGAAAGTGGGTAAACGGAGAAAGAAAGAGAAACAGAAAAAGAAAAAAAAAATGGGAAGAATGCGACAGGACGGATGAAATGGCCAATATGGGGCAGTAAAAAAAAAAGGCGGGGTGTGTACGGAAAGTGAAGGGACCTTGGATGTAGTTTGTACCTTGACGGCTCAAGGTTCAGGTTCAGAAAGGTTCAGGTTCAGGTTCAGGTGGTTCCAGTTCCATTCACTGGTTCAGGTCCATTCACTGGCTGGTTCAAGGTTCACAGTTGTTGTTGATGAAAGGTGAATGGTGGGTGTGGATTGCTGTTTGGACAGACGGATGAAAGCCAGACAAACTGGAGCCATGGAAAACTGGAGACCCCACCTTTCTTTCTCTCCTTTCCCTCCCTTTGTTCCTTTCTTTCTTTTTTCTTTCTCTTTTTTCCGCTGTATTTTTTCTCCCTGTTGGTCTGTTCCCTGACCCCAAAAAGGCTTGGCATCTCCCCTGCCGACACCCCCTCTCCCCTTTCTTCCGTCACTTCTCTCCACTCTTTCGACGCGTTGCTGATGCGGATTGGCCAGATCGACGGTTTGAACGTTGAAATCGGGAATTTGGAGTTTGGGGCGCACGGGACACATCCATTCACCTTGACGGGGAAACGGACGGAGCTTGGCGTGGGTTGGTTGCAACTTCCTCTTGTACACTGTTGGTGCTTGTGAATGACAGAACGATAACGGCCGTGTTTTGCGTTCTTTGCCTTTTCTTCGCATGTCAGGGATGAAGTGATCTTATTGTCTGTTTTCTCCCTTTTGCCCCTCAAAGCTTTTCTCATCCGCTTCGCTGACTCTCGCAACTTGTTTCTTCGAATTGTTTCTTTTCAACAAAACGAAAACAACGACAATGAACAAGTGAACGTCACCTCTGGATGATACCATCTACCCACAACCTTTTGTCTTTCCTGTTTTAAAACACGCCCCTAGGTTTGACTTTGATACAGAATCTTCGAACCCAAAGAAAGGAGCAAAACGAGCAACCTTGGCTTTTCGGTGGCATCTAGGTACTCCTGAGATGAAACCATACATACCTACCTCCATTTAGAAACGAAATTGAAGACGGCCGGCCTGGACTTCGCACCGCCTCCCTTGACCCCATATATCACCCATTCAAATTGTTTTCAAAGTCAATATTATACAAGAAACAATACTTCCGTGGGGTTTCTTGATTCAAGGTAAGTACCTAGAAACTTTAAGTGTGAAGACCTATTACATATTCGTCTTATGAACGAGGGGCACAGCGAGAAATAGAAAGGTGGTGCATAGAGTCCAGTCAAAAGAGATCAGATGGTGCGCTCAGTTCTGCTTAGAAGGACCAACCCTCTCCTCCTTCGTGCCTTTGGCATCATTGAAAGATCTTCAGAAGAAGAACAAATGATCACAAATATCGGAAAACATCACTACTGTCAGTCATGAAATAGGTACACACGAAGCTGAAGACACCCACCCATGGAATTCTCAACCTTGAAGAATCGGAGGAAGCAGCCACGTAGGTACCATTACTATTGCCAGAAGGGATGGGGAATACTATGTGGGCTATACAAACAATTGACGGAGATGGAAAGACGACGGGACAGAAGAAAAAGGGTTTGAATCTGGAGTTGGTAACGGAAGAGGACATGGAGAGACGGAAACCATGGCAGCCTAGGTAGGAATATGGGAAGGGAGTGTCTGTCCAGTTGGTGAATGGGAAGTCCAGTGAACGGGCAGGGCACGGACTAACTTTCAACAACAATTCATTGATCCAGGACGATGTATCGTTGCAATGTTCATTGTCTGGTGGGCAACGAACCTACCTGATGGACTCAGGTGACTGGACTGGACAAGAAAGAAGTGGAAAGTAATAAATGCACTTCGGAGCCCGGGATGAGAGCTTCGCGATTTGTATATCACAGATCTTGGATGTGGCTAGGCTTCATACTTGGAGTAGAACACAACACATGGAATGCTTGGAATGTTTTAACCAGATCGCTCGTCGAAACCTTAGTCATGGAATTGGAGAGTCGATATCGTGTCAACATGGGACGGAAGATCAAGATACGATACGGTAAACACTGGACACGAACTGGACACGAAGTGGTCGAAAAGACAATGCATATCACTCACCCAATTCAAGAAGACAGTAAGTACCTCATGCACAAGAACCATGAATTCAATTCTATCTTCGTCCATGTACCTAACTAGCGACCACGACTCAGCTTATCTTCTTGGATGACCATGAACCCATGAGACCGCTAGCTAACTGGACTTGATCTGCTCCTTCTGATTCCGAACGCTTCAACTTCAGCAACCTCCAATCCAGTCCACTTCCGATTTCACTTCCGATCACAAAAACCTCAAGCAATGATGACCATGAATGCAATGCAATGCAACAACCGAAACCAAACGCACGCTTCTTTTGAGCTTCCTTTGAGGCAGTCCACAAAGAACCATCCATACCATAAACCTATAACACAGGTCCTGAATGCAATGATTTAACCCTAATCTAATCCTTCTTGCTTTCAATTCGTATCACCCTTATCACTCCCGAATCCATCCATTCCTGCCAGTGACACAATTGGTCATTTCCAGCATCATCCATCTTCCATCAACCACCATGCCCATTTTCCTCCAATCCTCTAACCCTGTGTCCCATTCAAAGCAGGCAACACAGCCGGAATATCCTCCATATCATCCATATCGCTGCTAATAACACTATACGTGTCCTGAACCTGTGAAACAACAGAAGGGGCTTTGCTCTTCACCAACGGCGCCGGCGTAGACGCCACCGAAACACTACCACTAGCAGCCAAGTTTTTGCGGACCTGCTTCGCCTTACTAGCCACCTTCTTCTCCCTGCCCACACCACCAACCACGTCGCCCGGTCTGTCTAGGGAAACCAGGCTGTCGTCTGCGAGGTTACCGTCCATTTCTACCAGATCGAGGAGTAAGTGATCAGGTACGGCTGAGGCGATGGCGACCTCGGAGGAGTCTGCTGCTGCTGCTGCGGAGTCATCTCCAAAAGTGTTGGGTTTCCTCCGCTTGCTAGCCTTGACGACGGACGCGGTAGTCTTGATGATGGTCTCGGTCGTGCGGACGGATGGCTGGCGAGTGAGGATGCGGCGTTTTTTGTTATGTTGACTGTTGGCCGGGGCATCAGAGTGGTCAGATTCGTTGTTTTCGTTGAACGAGGGACGGCGGGCTTGGGATGCCGCGGGACGCTTGGGGCTCAGCTGGGGGTGACTTGCTGTGAGAGAGGTAGATGGCGGCGGGAGGGAGGGGACGGCAGCGCCGAGGACGAGGGGGACGTCCAGGTCGAGATCCTTTTCTTTGCGCTTAGACTTGGTTGACTTGGAGGCCTTGCCGTAGGTGCGGACTGCTGCCTTTTTGGAGGCTTTGAGGGCGGCGGCCTTGGATGTGGTGGCGATGATGTCCTCGTCATCGTCATCGGAGTAGTCTTGGGGTTTCTGGGCGGAGGTCGGAAGTTGTGGGCTTGAGATGAAGGAGGGCTCGCCGAGGTCGACGCTCACGGCTCGACTCTGAACAACGGGCGCTGATGGTGCTGGCTCCGACTCTTCGTCGTCTTCCTCGGCATCAACCTCCGGAGCATCATCCATTTCGAAGTCTTGGTTGTCATTGCCGTTGACGGCAGCAATATCTCCGTTGATGCTCTCTTCAACCTCCTCCTCGTCGGAGTCCTCATCTTGGACAATAGCCTCCGAAAGTTGTGACTTCCTTGACTTGGATGACGCCTTTTCTGACTCCTTTAACCGCTTTGCGCGCTCTCTCGCCCGCTGAGAAGTCCGACCGCGCATCTCATTGTCTGAAGATTCGGCAAACACATTGCTGAGATTGGTCTTGGTTTCCTTTGGGGGATCCCACAGGCCGACTCTTGGTGTGCGGTAGATCTTGGTCTGTTGTGTAGACGAGACCACCACGGAAGCAGGTCTGCTGACAGTAGATCTGGCATCGGCATCATCTTCCGCGTCGTCACCGACTTCCTCATCGCCCTTCCAGTCGGCATCGCGCTCGTACATGTCGCAAAGGTATTTGGCACACTCTTGGGTGGACTTGGATTCCCATTGCGGCACGGCTTGTCTCAAGCGACCCCAGGTGACCGTGAGAGCAGTCTTGGCGTACTGTTTGTCGAAAACGTCTTTCTGGATTTCTTTCCACTTGATCTTGTTTTCGCGGTCAGCGCCAGAGTCTCGGATGGCACGCACCAAAAGGGCCTTGTCTTCGGGTGTGATTTTGCGCAAGTCCTTGCGAGCCTTATCCAGGCGAGAGGATTCGCCATCGGGAAGCTTGACCATGATGCTGTCGGGCAAAGCCTCATTCTTACGCAACGTCTTCCACTTTTGCAAACATTGAAGGCGAGTTCTGGTGTGATTCATGGCCGTGCTGATCTGTTGCCAGTTGATCAGGCTTTCCGGTGATTCGTCCTCGGACTTCTTCTTGTCCTTGGCCATGCTGGTTTTGATCTTGTCGATGGCCTCCGCAACGACCTTGAGGAAGCGCTCCTCTTCCTCCTCGGACCAGTAATCTTTTCTGTTCTTGCCCCCGGCAGCCAGATAGTTCCTGTACCGATCACGAACATCGTCCGGGAAGCGATTGATGAGACCACCGATTAGCGTCCACTTTTGGCCGTGCAGCTTCAGCATACTCTCCAATTCCTCATCCTGCTCCTTGGTCCATGAACCACGGGCAGGGAAGTTGTGGAAGTTCTGCCTGCAGTAGTTGACCACTTTTCTGCGTGGCCGGTTGGGGCAAGCATCGACAATAAGACCCCATAGCTCCCTATTCTTCGGATCCTTGCGTGGGTCTTGGTGGATCATTTCGTTGACGGCATGCTTGGTGAGTCCGTTAGCATCCCGGAAAGAGTCGATTACCGCCTTGATGCGAGCATGTTCGGCCTGCGTCATTCGGCCCTGAGCCATCTTGGAGCCGTTGCTTGCTTCCTCAATCTCAGAGTTGTCTTCGTCGGAATCGGCTTTCTTAGCTGGCTTTTTCTTTGTGCTGACCTTGGCCTTCTTAGGTGCTGGCTCAACGTTGGAAGTACTTTGTTCGTCCTCAGCACGTGATTTACGCTTCTTCTCCCGCTTTTGGTCCTTTTGAGTGGCGGCAACTTCCTTGACGGAAGGCTCAGCAGACGTCTCGGCTTGATCGCATCCTTCGGCCTCCTCACGTTCGAAGTATGGGACCTTCACCTTTCGCTTCGAGCCCTTGGAGCGCGGCGTCTTTGCTGTAGACGTTGGTGCAGGAGTGGCTTCCTCAGCTTGCTCGACTTGTTCAGGCTCGGCATCGGGTTGAGCTTGTGCTTTCTTGGTACGGGACTTGCGAGCCTTGGGAGCAGGAGTCTGGGTGACCGATACCTCAGGGGCAGAATCTTCCCCGTCTTCGACCTCGGCAGCAGCATCGACTTCCGGACTTGGTTCTTCGTTGTCGGCAACTGCTTGGTCGACATCCATTTCGTGATCAGAGTGGTTGTCAGGTTCAGGATCGCCCGCCGAAGAAGCAGTCTCCACGTCAGCTTTATCTGCCTCGACCTCGTCCGCATCATGCATGTACCCCTCGTTGCTATAATCATCCTCTGGCTCGTCCTCGTCGATAGCATCATGACGCATGTTGTCTTCCCACATGCTGTTGTTCATAGCCGGGAGGTCGTTCATAGCCGGGAGACCGTCAGTGCGAGGTCGCTGGGAGCTGTGAGGAAAGCCATCGAACTGTGCCTGAGAGCTTGGGGGCAAACCATCGGCAAAATCCTGAGTGTTGGGAAGGCCATTGATATGATCGTCCAAGTCCATTGGATGGATCGAAGCAGGAATGCGGAAGCTGTCATCGTGGAAGCTCAAAGACTGTTGAGTAGCAAACTGTGGTACCAGAGGAGCGCTTGAAGCAACCTCGACGGGATGTTGCGAAGCAGAGCTAGCCCTTCGTCGCTCACGGGCCACGAGGGGCGATGTATGTTCATGGCCACCAACCATGCTTGGCTCATGCTCGTCGGCACCGGGTTCCCTCTTAACGAACGAAGCATCAACCTCCACATGGTCGTACTCGTCCTCCTCTTCGGCAACAGGCTCGGGAGATAGCCTTCGCCTCTTGACATGGTGCTCGGAACTCGGAGCCTCGCCTCTGTGGATCTTTGTGGTTCGCTGAACATTGTCCTCGCCATCGCTAATGGGATCGTCCGAAATGTCGACAGTGACCTTCTTCGACTTGCGACTCCTTTTCTTGAACTTGGCAGATCCTTGAGCAGCGGATTGTGGTTCGGGCTCGGCGACTTCAGGGCGTTCGAACTTGAGGTTGGGTGACTCGTGCGCAGCGGGGGAGTCAACGGGCAACTCATGGTCGGGCTCGGCTTGTTGCTCCTCCTCCTCGACCTGGGGCTCGGGCTTGGACCTCTTCTTTTTCTTTTTCTTTTTCTTGCCAGCTTCTGGGAGTTCGTGTTCCTCGGTCGCGGCAGGTTCGGGGTCTGCGAAAGTTGGGTCTTGGTGGTGGGAATCGCCGTTCACGTCGGGCTCAACAGCAGGGGAGGGCGAGCGTCGGTGCTTGCTCTTCTTCTTTTTCTTTTTCTTGCGCTCGCCTGAGGGAGGCGCGACGGGTGATTGAGGTTGCTCGTCGAACTGCTGGCCGTAGGGTACGCCGGGAATGGCATCGTAGCTCTCGTTGTTTTCGTATTTTCCCCAGTGGTTGTCTTCCTGAACCAAGGGCGAGGCTGACCGGCTTCTGACGTCGCCATCTTCGCCTTCCGGCACACTTTGTTGACTGCCCATCTTGACTTTTTGCTTGTTCGATGCGCTGGTCAGAGAGACAATGTGCTCAGAGTGATGTTGACATGGTATGCGACGATTGTTGTCGGGCAAGAAGTGGGCGGAGAGAGGGTGACCTCCAGGCGGTGGTTTGCTTGGTTTGGAGTTGTCGAGGTTCGGTGGTAATGCAAACGTCAAGGGTAGGTGACGGAGAATTGGTGATGTGCGTTTTTCGCTGCTGCAACAACCGCAAACGCGCCGCGTTCTTTTGCAAAAAGTCCACTGAATTGGAGATTGCGGGGGAGTGTGCACGAGCCATAACCCCCTGGCATTGGCATTCACTGCACCACCCCGAGTCCCGACACCATCCCGGCAGGCAGGCTCCCAGACATAAGCGAATAAGGTAGGTACTATCCTCAGAGGCCCTGACTGCACTCGACGACATCCCTTGGCCGCCTCCACATCCAGCTTCAACGACATGTCATTGATGTCAACACTCCAACCAAGGAGCCAAGCAACCAAGCAAGCAACGTCAAGCTCCCGTCCGAGTTCACCAAGTGCAACAAACGCAATGTTTTTTTTGTGTATTCATGTTCTTTGATTGTTTCATGTCTTCCATCAGCAAAAGTAAATATTGAAAAGGCGTGTATACTCGGACATGGGCTCTCGTGTGAACCCAGAAATGCATTGTCTGCATGTCTTGAGGTCTTATGTATGCCTCCGGATGGCTTTGGTTTATCCGTTAATCCTCTCTCTTCTTGCCAAACAGGTTAGCCGGAGACTTCTTCTTATTCAACTTTCGTCGCTGTGATCCCGCCTGATTCGCTGCATCGTTGTCATCTTCGGTAGGGATTGGAGGCACCGGAATAGAAGGGAGCGGCGGTACAGGAGGAATATCCGGCAGGCGAGGGGGACCATCTCTGGTGGAGACGGGACTCAAGCTGGTGGTTGTCGAGAAGGAAGAGGAGGCTTCTCGGCGAAGATTGCCCCGGGATTTCGTCCTCAGCCTGCTGAAGGCGTTCCTCATCCTCCCCATCGCGGAAGGCTCATCCTCAGTGTCTGAGCTCCAATGTGACCTGGGCTCTTCTTCTGGTTCGTTGCTTGATCTCTCGGCCTCTGCGTCGTCTCTCACGGTCACAAGAGCAGGGCCTCTCTCGCGCATCTCGACAGCCAGTTGAGGTTGCGGTCGAGGTTGAGGTGGAGGTTGAGGCTGGCTAGACCTCGCGCTCGACCCCGAACCACGTGAACTACGGCCACGGCCACGACCACGACCACCAGAACCAGAAGCAAAGGAAGGACTGGAAAAGCCCGGCGTCATCGGGGTTGGCGAACTCATCATCGCCGGCGAGGTTGGAGAGCCAACGAAAGTTGAAGACCCGCTGAGTTGGCGGGAGCCGCTGCCCCTGCCAGAGCTCGTGGGAGGCGAAGTGATGTCGGGAGTCGAACCAGAAATGGTGGATGGGCCAAACGTACCCAACGTCTGCGTCCTCAAACGAAGGCCAGGGCGCAGGACCGCTCGCTGGTCCTGGTACCCGTCTCGAGTCCGCGAGAGAATTTGTCGAAGCTCTGCATCCAGATCATCCTCGTCGCCAGTCGGGGCACCCATCGGCCTGGGCGCTGACACTGCTCGCGTGCCAAAACGAGAGTTGCCGCCGAGGGCACCACCGATGCGAGGGAGGGCCTGAGTGACGGAGCGGGCAAAACCACGAGGAGGCGAACTAACTGGCACGGGCGGCGGAGGAGGAATGGCTTGGGTCACCGACCGCGGAAGACCACGGCCGAGCCCGGCACCAGAGCTGCTCACACCAGGAGAGGCCACGCCAGAAGAGACCGTACCAGGAGGAATCGCACCACCCGGACCGGAGACCACAGAACCGGCTCCCGAAGACATGGCCATCGCAACATGAGGAGGGCGAGGGAGAACACCAACGGTAACGGAAGAGACGAGACCACCATCACCAGACGTAGAGGCTGCACCAGGCCTCTGCGTGCTTGAACCACCGTCAGGACGCAAACCTAAACCCATCGGCGGGCGGGGGAAGACATAAAGGGCAGGGCGTGCGGGCTGCGGCTGGGGGCGTGGGCTGGTGATGACTGGAGAGCCTCGTCTCACTGCTGGCGCACGACGAAGGGGTAGCGGCTCAAGGTCCGCGAGCAATGGCGGCAGTGTGGTGGTCAACCCGTGTGCCGGGTCTTCCACGAGAGAGCCCGGGATAGTCGGACTCTCCTCCCGCGAGGGCACACTTTCGCCAAAGTCGTTGACTATGGCGCTGTTGTCGATGGCGAAGCCAGCTTCCTCGACACACTAGGTCAAGGAGAAGCTGCTGTCGTCCATCTGGGCTTCGTCGTGGTCCAGATCGTTGGTGTCGGCGTTGGCGGGGAGAACCTCCTCCTGTTCCTCACCCGGGGCCGGGCGAGCTGTCCTTTCCGAATCGGCAGAGGATGGCGTCGGGGAAGAAGCCAGCCGAAGCCGAACCTCCTCACCCAACATGTGGGGAACCATCCCCCAGCGTCTTCGGTCGCTCTGGACGAAGGTGATGTCGGCCGCCACGAGAGTTGTGTCATCACTACCCCGGAAGTGGGCAGGTGACTCCTCTCTGTGGCGCTGGGCGACACCAGTGTCATAATCGCCGCGAGGCAAAAACGACCCATCGTCCGAGGCGATAAAGGACCGGTCAGCTGTTCCCGGTGAAGAAGAGGACATGGACGAGGCGACAGCCACGGAAGAAGCAGGTGGCACCGGCGAGCTGTCGCGGATAGTGGACAAGCTCGGGGCATAAAGCCGGGGGCGGCTACCACCATGATGCGACTCCCTGCTGTCGGAGTCCTCGTAGTCGCTCTCCTCCACATCTCCCTCGTACTCCACGTCGCCACCAACCTCTCCTGCTTGTACCTGGGTGCCCAACGGCACGGTGCTTTGCCCCGGAATGGGCGGAAGCGGCCTGTTGGGCGGTGGGGGGCCAGGACGGGCGGCAAATCTTCCGGTGTAGAGGGGTAAACCCACCCTACTACCAGCTGGGACTACCGATGGGGAGAGGTTGGCGGGAAGAGGAGGGACAGGTGGAATGTCCTCGACAACGGACCCGCTCAAGCCAGTAACCGCCGGCAAGCTGAGCGGGGCGAAATCCGGAGTCGTCCGAGGGGAGTTGAGGCCGTGGGAACAGCCTTGGGCTCGCTCGGCCTTGATCCTGCGCTTTTCACTGAGGCTCATGGCCGTCAGGCGCGCCGGGTCCAGGCGAGGAACAGGAGGGGGAAGTGGTCTGGAAGCGGTGGCCTCGGGGGGCCGCTCGCCAGCCACGGTCGTCGTGCTTCGGCTACGGGTGCCAACCGCAGCGTCAGCCCCAAAGTTCTGTCCGCCCGCCGTAGTCGTACGAATACGGACCGGACCGGGCATGCTATCCAGTTGGGATCCTGGAGGTGTAGCAACAGAGGAAACCGCTCGCTGGAGTTCGTCAGCGACCTTGTCATCGGCCGCCGACTCCCTCGCAACGAGTCCACCGGTGGGATCAGTCTTCGCCCTACTTTCGTAGGACACCTCGACCGTCGCAGCAGGGGCTGCCTTCACCCGCGGGACGTCTTCGGTCGCCTTGTCATCGGCAACCTGGCCCAACACGGATTCGTCGGCAACGCGAGCATGGGTCTCCATCATCCCTCGGACTCCCTCCTCGGCATTGACCCGAGCTCCAAAGGAGCTCGAGTCGCCGACTCGGGCGAAGGACGAAACAGCCGCCTTGCGGCGGTGTCCCGGACCCCAAGCAGACTGGTGACCCGAAGGCCCCCGGCGCTGCTGGGGCTGCTGCTCCTGCTGCTGAGTGGGAGCAAGGGCTGTGGCGGGGCCCTGCATGGAGGTCTGGAGAGAGGAAGAAGGGGACAGTCCGGAAACAACCTCCTCCAAGTGTTGTTCCTGGTCTTCTTCATCATCCACCCCGAAGAAGCTATCGAGAGCCGCATTGGTCGTCTCGTGCCTGTTGACAGAGAAAGGAAATCGTTAGTTGTCTTGTTCAAATACTCAAAAAACGCTGGTGCCTCGCTTGAAGGCAAACGAATACGATTGTCGTCCCAAGTCCCCCTGTGTACTACCACGGGAAACACTGGACACGACAACATTCAAACGACTACCCTGCCCTTCCCAAGAGATATCATCCTGCTCCCTAGGAGACGCGGACTCATCATCTTCGTCAATGGCGGATAGGTCAGGGGCACTCGCCATTCTAGCCTTGCTAGACCGCGAATGTTCATGTCGGGAAAAAAAAAAGAGTCACCGGCGAATTCACTAGAATTCCGTGCACTTACAAAGTATCAGGAAGCGATGCATCCGAAGATGCATCCTTCCCGCTATCAGCACCCTCGATGTTGCCATCATCGAGGGGCTCTTCCGGGACCGGTTCCAAGAAGCCCGAAGGCGAGGAGACCAGCTGCCCGGGTCGGGTCCTGGTGGTGCCTGCGCGGGCGCGGAGGCGGACGGGTACCGGAATGCGGCTGCTGCTTCTGCTGCCGTCGTCGCGTGTGGCGTTGCCGGAGCTGCCAACACGGGGGCGGACGGGAGGAGTGCTGCTGCTGGTGCCGTCGTCGGGCGAGCGCGAGGCGAGGGGAGAGGAGGAGGAGGAGAAAGAAGAGGAAGAAGAGCGGGACGAAGACATCTTCTTGACTGAGATAGCTACTTGCTATCTGTTAGCGACTTGAAGAGACGATGAAGAAGTTGAAATGCCCAGCTACGATGGAGACAAGACAACCGAAAGAAAAGGCAGTAGAGGTATTACTTACGAAAAGCCGAGGGGAGGGTGGTGACCGGTAATCGGTCACTTTGGTCTGAGAGCGACAGGATGAGTTAGTGGCTGGGGATCAAGGCAGAAAGAAGGCATAAGTGCCAAGGTGATGAAGATGATGACGGTGATGGTGGCCACAGGTGTAAGCCGGATTGTGACCTTCACCACGATATTGCCCAGGTCTGGCCACGTTATGTGGCTGCGATCAACTTTGAGAACCTCAAGGTTGACCACATCGCAGGGTTGATTAAATCCAACCTCAAGGTTTAGAACAGGTTGTAACCAACCAAGGGAAAGGAAAGGACCAAAACCTACGGGGGAAAAAAGCTTGAAATCTGGCCAACGAAGTTGGCAACGCGAAAAATCTTGAGCTTGGGTACGTTCTGCGAAGGTAGCGTGGTGGTTAGCTCAGGGTCCTGGTTCAAGATTGTTTGGAGTCGTGATTGGCACAGGTTGAAACCAACCATGAGGGGAGAGGAAAGACCAAAACGTACGTGGTAAAAAGTTGCTTGAAAGCTGGGCAACAGCAACGGGAAGAGATCTTGAGCTTGGTACGACTGCGACGATTATATGGTTAGCTCAAGGTCTTGCTTCAAGTTTGATTCATGTTGGAGTCGCATTTCGAGTGAGATCTGGAGTCAGGATTTCTTTTGTTGAAGTGCGAACGCGAAGTAATCCCCAAGCGATCACGACACTCCCAGCATAGGAGGGGAGGACCTGCTTTCTTGGAGTGCGCAGCTGGTTTTGTCGCGATGCCTTGGAAGAGTGTCCGAGGTAAGTAGTGAGGTGATTTGGAGGGGTAAAAATCAAAGGAAGTGAAGTTCAAGTTGTGAGATTGAGATACTTGCGCTTGAAGCTTGTGAGGTTGAACTCAATGTCTTCTAGTCCTTCGCGATCGAGTCACTCGACTGTCTCACTTCGCGGGGCTCACGGGTGAGGGTCAAAGGATGGGTTTACCTGACTGAGTCGCCGTGGCGACGAGGGGTGAAGATGTGTGAAAGGGAAGAAAAGGCAAAGAAGGGAACGCGCGCTTGATGGTTATACCTTTGGAGACGATAGAAGTCTTCTTGGTTGAGGGCAGGATTGATGATGGTGAACTGGGCACTAGGTACTTAACTCGACGCGGGGGTAGCTTTTGCTGATGGTGTTGTGGACAAGAAGGAGTTCAAGCGAGTGCGAGCGGAAGGGTTTAAAGGCTTAGGAGGGAGCAAGGCGGGAGGCTGGGTGGGGCACGGTCCTTTGGGGGGACCTGGACTGAGAGTTCGGACGACACCAGACTGGGCTTTTGTTGAGCAAGTTTGTTTCCTTCACTTGGGACGGACGCTTGCGAGGCTGGAGAACGAAAGTCAAGACGATATGAGGCTGATCTTGCCGTACTCACCTTTTCCGTGGGCGACTTGCTCTACAAGCAGCTGAGGATTTCGGAGCAAAGGAGTGAGAGCTGAGATATGGCGAGGCTGGTCTTGCTACAAACGATATCTTTCGTCTCGTCCACCCGAGTCACTCGAAAGGTTCAGGTCTTGCTCGGCTGGGTGAAGGCTAGACGGCTAAGGTATCCAGATGAACTTCCTGTTGTGCTTCCAAATCATACTGCGAGATACGGCGACTGAATCCACCGACAGCACCTCGTTCATCCGAGATATCATACAGGTATGGCTTGCTCCTTTTCCCAAAGCTCCCTTCCCCGAGGTGTACTTCTATGCCATATCGTTTATTGACTTTGACAGAGGTATAGCGTACATCTTTTTGCAGCTTTCCACGCTGGAACTGACACAGCCAAGCTCCTTTTGTCTTTCTGTGACTGCTTCCGTAGAGGTACCTTTACAAGACTGCGTGAGGAGCATATAGAGTGGAAGGCACACGTTTCCTGTTGTATTCGTAGGGCTGGATGGAAATTTGGTGATGGATCGAAGGGCCTGGTCAGTTAGAAGCATTGGCCAGACAACGAATCCACCTTCTTTACCAGACGAAGGCGGTAGTGTTGAACTCAAAGGACCCACCTTCACACGGCAGGGCAGGCAGAGGGCTGGGGGTGATCGGTCAGTTGGGTGGCTTCAGAGTTACACTTGCTGTCAGGGGTCCGTTCTTTCGACCTGTTACAGGTTGGTCTTAGCGTCTTTGCGGGAGCTGGGCATCTTTTCCATCTGAGCGGATGGTGATTTGCGTCAGAGGTATTAATCTCGTAAAGTGCGGAACTTGATGTAACGGAAGGATACCTATGCTTTTGCCTCAGATAATGGGGAGTCGACTGCTCCAACGACGTTGGTACTCGAGGACAAAGTGTTTTTGGGCATGGTCAGTACAGTAGAAGGCTTAAACACTCTTGCTTTTTACACCCAGAAAACCACTTCAGGTACATGTATTCGGTGTTCTCCTTCTTTGTGTTCTTGTTGCCTTGAAGTGAAACTCGTCGGGTCAGCAGTCGGTGGCGTGGAATCAAAAGCTCGCCTAGAACCATGGGGGCCTCCTACATGCAAGCCCTGCTTGGTGAGTATGGGACAGGGAATATACCACTCTGTAATACTCGCAAGTAACATCCTTCACGTGGTCAGGATACCGAAGTGAACATCTGCTGATTTCCACGAAGTAACGTCCGTGCTTCCAGTCCGCAAGTAGCGGGGCTGAGAGTATCGAGCAAGGCTCCTCTCACTGCGTTCTCTCATTTTTCTTTCTCACCCCTCTTTCTTTTCACACAATTTTTTTCTCGCCCCTCTTTCTTTTTCCTCCACGACGTACCTTCGTCAAACAAGGTCCCCCTCACTACCAAACAACACCTCATCCCCTTCATCTTTGCCTTTCTGCCTGCTGCCCTCTCGACCCGAACGATCCTTTTGCGAAGATTGGAGCCGACGCCGCAGCATTTGAGCGAAACTTGTCACAGACATGCCCTTGCCTGCGCCTCATCTTCCACCGAGTAAAATCCAAACGTCCAACTTCCAGGGACGAGACAGCAGCTTAATACCAATTGAGGAGCAAACACCCTGTTGCCCAGGGAACATCACAACAAGAGGTACACTTTGCGAGATCGATATAACTCCCATCCCCCTCCGTGGCCCCCTCATCGCGACAATCCTCAAGTCGTGCTCTAAAACAGAGCGCGAACACAAAGGAAGCTCAGCTGCTCAAGGTGCGTCTTCTGTCTTGCCTGCTATTTTCCACGCAGGGTACTAAACCCCAACCTGGTCACAGCATCAACCCTACATTCCCTCCTCGAGTGGGACTCCCACTCTATCACTAGGCCCTGTCCCTCGGCCAGTCCTCCGGCGCTGAGTGCTACAAGTGCGGCGAGGTCGGCCACATTGCCCGCAACTGCTCCAAGGGCGGTGCGCCGCCAGGTCGTCCTCTCAAAATCACATCACCACTCACCTCAGATACTCGTCTAAAGCAACGTGACAAGAGGCAGTCACGCGCTCCATGGACGGCCAGGAGTAAGTTCCCATCTTGAAGATTTAATAGCACTGAGCAGACACTGACACGCACCCAAAAATAGGTTCGAGGACGCAGAGTCGGTGTCGACAAGGCCTCTGACCGACCGCGCCGGCCAGGAGTAGGTTCGCCCTCAATCTGGAAGATCAGCATCGAGCGGACGCTGACACTTGAAGGCACCTCTACACTCTCTTCTACCACCCTTCCGTGCGGGAACCGTGGCTCGTCAACCAGTATATCCCGGCTCCTTCCACGCCGACGCAGAGTTCGTGTCGACAAGGCCTCTGACCAACCGCGCCGGCCAGGAGTAAGTTCGCCCTCCATCTGAAAGATCAGCATCGAGCGTACGCTGACACTCCAAACTACAGGTTCGACGGACGCAGAGTTCGCGTCGACAAGGCCTCTGACCGACATTACTGGGAATCTGGGGATCGAGAAAACCGTACAGGATAAATAACCGTGACAGAACGGCAACATCCGTACACCTCAAAATAACCGTACACCTCAGAGAAACCGTTCAGCTTAGAATAACCGTTGCAGGCGGATTCCGCATCGCTCCCGCAGAACCCCTTGAAGAGGGAACCCGGAAGTGGTCTCCCTAGCATTCCCCCGCAGCCCGAAGCTCCCAACGGAAACGCATCGGCGTCCAAGTATCCTGGATGGAATCTGAGAACCAGAACGACCAGGCTGTCACTATCAAGAAACAGATAGCCGTCCTGCGTCGTTTCGACAAGAAAGTCGAGTCAGTCGACCAGGACATCAGGGCACTGTTGTTGCTCTCTCAAAGAGCCACAAGAAGAAGCCGAAACATTGTCCTGGGTGCTGGCCAGCACTCTAAAGCCAAAAAGCATGCCAGCACCCAGGACAATCATCCGTCTCCACCAAAGAAATCGAAGAAGCAGGTGATGGTGGTTTCGTCCCAACTCTCGGGACTGGAGGCGTGGGAGGACCATCCGATTTTAAGTGTGTACCTACCTGTATCTAGGTAGACATAAAAGTTAGATGAAATAGGAGATCAACCTCACCTCAACACTGCGCTTATCCTGCGTGACAGCATTGAGTACGGTACCTTCTTTCATGTCAATCTCGTGGCATTTCCCAGAACCTTGTAGGTACCTAAGGTAAGGTATTCAGTCACCCCCAGGGCATGTTTGGTGATAGGCAACATGAACCTTAAGAGGTCAAGATTGGACCATTCACCATAGCACTGTGCAACGTCCCAACACAATTGTCCACAACCTTGGATATTCGCCGGCAGATGAACCTGAATGCCTTCACTGCTTCCCCCTTCACCATCGACTGATCAAGATATTGTGCCTTCCCACTTCCACATTTAAATCCCATCCAGTACGCCCAGCAGGTTACCTTAACCTTCCTGTCCATGTCCGAAACACCACCGGCCACTTCCCACCTTAGAGGTAGCCGACAGGGAATAGCCTACCCCCCAGTACCTCTATCATATCACTCTTTTAACTTCTCAATGTATGTTCGTCCTATCATTACTTCGTACCACCATCACCACTTACTTACTCTATCTCTAGTATACCTCCTTGAAGCCAACCAAAATGGCCGGGGTGGCAGGGGCATCCAGGGCCCAGGGGCCCTCCCCCGAGGCGACTGCTGCTGTACAGAAAGTACAGAAAGTACAGGAGGTTGAGAAGGTTGAGAAGGTTGAGAAGGTTGAGAAGGTCGAGAAAGGTAAGGACATAATTACACCACTGCCAATAATAATAGGAAGGCCAATCTGACAAAGTCCAAAGCCGCCGCCAGCCCCAAAGCGGCCATCACCAAAGTCACCAGCTCCACCGAAATCGCCAAAAAGAAGCTCAAGCATATCCTTTCGAGCCGTGCGCTCCAGATCATCAAGAGGACGATGATTTTGGAAGCCCAGAAGAAGGAGGCGCAGGAGGGCGAGGCGCAAGAGGGCGAGAAGGACAAGGAAACCACCTCGGACCGTTTGGACGGACATGCAAAGATGTGTGAAAGGCTGTGATGACGTCTCCAGCTGTTAGCAAAGTGGTGGAGTATGGAAGCCGAATTATGGAAGGTAATGGATGGGGACTTAGTGCTCGAGCGCTTGCTGGTGAGCAAGAAAGGGAAAGGCAAAGGTAACTTGAGAACACTGTCGGGGAATGTAATCCGCTCACGGTTATGGCAGTGCGGCTTTGATGCCATAACTTGATAACTTTTGTGACTCAGTAAAAAAATGCTCAACGCCGAAGATACAAAGGCTGGATTTGTTCTCGAGCCGGAAAGGTATCAGACAGTCGTGTAGAGCAGCTGTTGAACTTTCCATCTGTTGTCGTAGAGCCGAGTAGTTGTGTTAGGTACAAAGGAACCACGAACGAGTTACCATCTTTGTCTGTCTTCAACAAATCACGCCTCCAATTCCCGAGGGTACTGGCTGTGGCTATATATCTGGTCTGGTGTTCTGAGCTCTCGGGCTGGTGATATATGGGTGCCGACGGCAACGCCATATCCCTCCGCTATCATTGCTTGATCCGTAGCTGCAGGAGGGGCTGGTAGATTGCTCGTAAAGAGCGTTGGTTCCTTCCGCTATGCCTTGCCCCCGTTATTCCATCCATCGAGCGAGTCTTCGAACGCCTTTTGTCCTTCGTGGTGGGCATTAGATCATTGCGCTGTGATCGGACGCGTGGACATCGCTATCCTAATACTGTGAATAGCGGGGAACTTGGCCATGCCCTATCCTCGTCGACTATGCTGTTTGACCTGTTCTTGTTTTTGTGGCTGGTTGGTTGCCGAGGACGCCGATGTCAATGTCGAGGGCAGAATCTGGGTTACTCGGGTTGCTTCAAGTCTGGTATTGTATCCGCCGGTTATGTCCTAGATCTCCACGGGGTTGTTGACAGCACCGCTTCCGAGGAAAATGCGTTGCTTCATGATTTTAGAGGGGGCGAGGTGACCGCACTACCATCTGGAAAGTGTAGCCCATCGTGGGAGTTGCTGTGAACAGGTTTGCTTGGACTGAATTACGGTAGTTCGCTGCGTGTAGTTCCAAGGGGTATAATCGAAGGTAGGAGACTGATCGTTACTGGACCATGGCTGTTAGCGTTTGGCCGAGCTCCATGAGAGATTCTGCTTCCCCCTCATCAAGGTCTTGACACGACTTGCACCGCGTATAGATATCTTGGACTTGGACTAGAGACCGGGGTTGGCGGGGTGCAAAGTTCGGGTCTGGGCGCGATCGTATTCGTGTCTCTGGAGGTTTACGAGGTGCCGGTTGGAACGGGTGTGATAACCATGCCGCAGGTCGAGGCCTGAAAAGACAACAATAGCCCCAGTCAAAGGAGAAGGGAGACATTTTGACGACTGAGGTGGGTTACGCTTCGAGTCTCGTCGCGCAGAGAAGTAGTCGGTGGCAAAAGGCGTGGTGGGTTGCGACATCCGTTCTAGGCAAGATACGGGCAGGTAGTGAGAGGTCTCGTCGAGGGTAGAGCTTTCGGAAAATATAAACTTGAACGTGTCCTGTTGAAAAAAAAAAAAAAAAAAAAAACCACTTGATTTGGACCAGTTCTGCAGATGGTGCATCGCCCGTACCTTCCTCATGTCCGGAGTTGGGAGCCTTTAGTGCATTGCATGACAGCCACCTCAAGCCCGGTCATGTCCGGGGACACTTTTAATTCACGGACTTAATATTTCTTCATTCCGCATTTCAACTTCATTTTAGCTTTTAACAGCCAATGGACCTCTCCCCGATCTGATATATCTGTCTTCTCTTTTCATGTTGTTTTTCCATGACTGAGTGATTCCGGTGCTCGACGTCGACGAGGAATTGATACTGGTCTTCCCATTTGCTTGGCATGATCTTGGCAGCTGGCAGACAACTGCCAAAATCCAGGTACATTTTTGCGCAAGAAGGAACCCGACCCAGGGGCAGTTCCAAGCGAACAAGGCCAAGCAGTTGTTTTAATAATGGAACGTCGTCACTGCTTCAGCTGCAGTGACACACAGACAGACCCAAGCGATCGGGGGATAGCGTATGCCAAGGCGGGCCAGGCCCAGAAACCAAGCCGTCGCACCTTGATTCCCTCCCTTTGTCAACATCTCTCTTCTGCACCTGCAAGACACTTCATCAACGTCCGACTACACGCAGCGGCATATTTCCTTTTCTGGCCTTTGTTCGAGATCCAACTTATCCACTCTTTGCACGACATTATCTCCTCTTCTCCTCCTTCATTCTCTTGCTCTATTCTTCCCTTCCCGTCATTCGCTTTTCCTAACCACCCCTTTTTTTCCTCATTTCATTTTCCAACATATTTCTAGACTTTCAGACTTCTAGACGTCATCATCATGGCATCCAGGATACCGACGGCCTGGCGTATCGGAGCCGGCAAGTCCACCACTACCGGCTGTCTCAACTTCAACCATGTCACCAAGTCCACACCCGCATGGCCCCCGAGGTTGAGGCTGGGATCTTCAGGGACAGCCCCTCTGGCGAGAAGCTTATTCCATCGTCAACAGCACCAGCAGCGCAGATCTTTCGGTGGGTTCAACTTTCTCTTTTTCTCGTGTGTCATCCTGCCATTTGTCCACCACCCGGTCTTTGTTGCATTTCATGGACGGTCAAGCATTGTTCAAGCATTGGCATCCCCACTTCGTTTCCCCTCCCAACACTTGTTGTTGGTTGACTTTGCTGCATGGAAGGAAAAAAAAGTCGTCGGTTAAGAAAAAAGATTCGAGCTTGGCTTGTGTTTGTGGCCCAGTTGGCCCGGCCCACTGCCACGTTGTTTATCTCCATGTCAGCCTCGAACCCCGGATTATCATGGCTTGGCTTGGTAAGGGGGTGGATTCGCAATGTAAACACTTGCGACCCAGGCTTTCTAAGGATGGATTTGACCATGATCTTTGTCCGTATTCGGGGTCGAGGATCTGAACGGTGTCGAGGGTTGTCCATGGCAAGTGTCATATCGAGTAGGGGTATCATGCGGTATGCCTTCGTCTTCGAACTCGGCCACGTACCAGAAGGACTCACGAAAGTCGGCTTGGTTTATGCAGGGTCCAAGACTTGCTGGTACATGCAGTCTGCAAGGCCCTTTGGGGTCATCAAGGTGCTTGCAGAGACTGTGCCTTGGACCCCGGAGCCTCGAGGTGCTTTATGGTACATCGGCCCGAACCGGCTTTGTCGCCTTGTGTTATCCTCGGTGGCTTTTGCCCAGTACACATCCACCGTCACGAACCACTCGCTCAACGGTCATGAACAAAGGCGCAAATCCTCTTCTTCCCGAACTGCTACTAGGTGTCATTTCCCCTGAAAGTCCTCCGTGGAGAAGAGACCGAGACAAACTCCTTCATCAGCAAGCGACGATTTTGATCACATCCTCCTAAACACTTCTCTCAAGCCTCTTTCCCTGGCCAGACTGCCCAACCCATTCCAATCCATAATGTACCTCCATCCTGCCGTCCAACATGTCATTTTTCAGAGCTATTCTGCCCAAGATACAATATTACCCAAGAAAAAACTAACCCTCCCCAGCTCACACCACCACCCGCCATAAATCCGACGATGAAAGCCACCACTGCCCACCACACGACAACCCGTCGATCCTGGTCAAGATGCTCGAAGCAGCGGCCACCTCCTTCGCCTCCATACTCGTTCTCGGCGCCGGCTTCAGCATCGCCGCCTACGCCTACCACAAGAGCTACAAGCACCATGTCTTAAAGAAAATGGCCAACGCCTTCGAGCCCGGTGACCCCGTCCTCGACCTCGCCGCCATCGGCAAGAACATTCCGCTCTCCAAGACCGCCGCTGCCACACACTGGATCGGGCGACCCGAGCAAGACATCGTCGACGATATCGTCGCCGGCCACGAGGTCGGGCACTACCACCTGTTCATCGGCGAGAAGGGCACAGGCAAAAGCAGCATGCTATTGGAAGCCATGCGCAAGATCGACGGTGACGGCGTGGCCATGTTCGAGGCGCACGCCGACCTAGAGATCTTCCGCATTCGCCTGGGCAAGGCGCTCGACTACGAGTTTCACGAGGATTACATCGGCAGCTACTTCAGCGAGCGCGGCCCGCGCGACACCACGGCGCTGTTGGATATCGAGCGCGCGCTGAACAAGCTGGAGAAGGTGGCGCTCAAGCGGCGGGCAAAGATCGGGAGGCCGCTGGTTGTCATCATCAACCAGATGCACCTGATCCGCGACGACGAGGATGGCAAGGACCTGATCGAGCTGCTCCAGCAGAGGGCGGAGCAGTGGGCCGCGAGCAACTTGGTTACCATGGTGTTCAACAGCGACGATTACTGGGTCTATGAGAGGCTGAAGCAGCTGGCGACACGCATGGAGGTGCTCTCGATTACAGACCTGCCCAAGAATCTGGCGACGGCAGCGCTGAGGAATTATCGCCACCGGTACTTTGGAGAGGACTTGAGCAACGAGACGCTGGAGCAGATTTACGATCGCGTGGGCGGACGGCTGAACTTCTTGAACAGGGTCGCCAAGAGCAATGATATGCTGGCGACGTGTGATGAGATTAAACAGGTGGAAAAGACGTGGTTCTTGAATCAGTGCTGGATTCTGGGAGAGGAGATGGATGATGATGTGATGGATCAGCAGAAGTGGGCGGTAAGTTGCTTTTCTCCTGCCCCTTTACTCTAACGGCTTCTATCTTACACCCTATTCCCTCCCCTTACCTCCCTCCGCTGCCTTACCCTTCCCGTTCGCAGCCTCAGCCTTCTTCCCCATTTCTCCTCCCTTCTCATCTTTCCACCAAAAACTAACGCTTCCGCCCCCTCCCACAGGCAGCAGCAGTAGTCCTCGCCACCGCCCTCGTCGACAAAGAATCCGTCATGGAAGCCGCCGGCTCCTCCACCTACGACCCTGTCGTCGGGCACGTCCTGCCCAGCTACGCCCTGCACGAGGCCCAGCAGATCATGACCCGCGCCGACTTTGTGCGCGCCCTCGACCGCCTCAACCTGTTCTCCATCACCAAGGACGCCCAGGTGCGCGCCAGCTCCGTGCCAATGCACCTCGCCTTTCGGGAGATAGTCGCCCAACCGGGCTTCCGTGAACACCTCCAGGCCACGATTGACAGGATTGCTGCTATCGAGAGCTTGGGACGTACCAGGGAGCTGGTGGCGAAGGATTTGGTGCTTGGTGGACATTATGAGATTAGGAGGTCGGAGAAGGGGAAGGGGGTTGATGTGAAGTTGGTGATGCCGGAGCCGGAGGAGGAGGGGGAGAAGGAGGAGTAAGTCGCTTTCCTGGACTTTAGTTTGGGGCAACTTAGATCGCCATAATTCCTCCTTCTAAGTCTATAAGCGAAGGCGTAGGAAGTGGTTTTGGTGGCCCTGGGGAGGGGACCACAAGGATGAACAAGATGGGGTCTACTTTGGCAGCACAGGGCAGGCATGAGGAAAGGAGTCAAGGCCGGGAAGATAAAAAACGTTTAAGTTTGCTTTGGTTCGTTTCAGAAAAGAGCCACGACGAGATGGGGACTGGACTTGACGCAAGAAAAGGACCAGGAATCTGAAGCGTTAGGCGAGGGTATTCGTTCTCCGGCAGCATTATCCAAACAGGGAGGCGCATCGGAAAATGGCGAGGGGCAGACTGGAAGCTAAACTGGAAATCCCTATACCTCTACGCAACACCAGCATCACGCTGGCTCGTACCAAGGCGAGCCGCCACACACACTCACTTACTACTTCATACGTTTTCTCATTTTTGTTTTTATATCATGTACATGTACATCCTTTCCAGTCTTCGCAAGTTTGGTTTGGCGTTTAGGAGGACTGATTAGAGGTAGGTACTCATCCACAACTACACACTCTCTCTTTCCTTCATTTTCCCCCGTCTCTTTGGTTTTCTTTCAAAATTTCCTTCTCGTTATGTGTTAGATACCTCTATCCGTTGTCAAATACGTTATTTCCAAGGCTAGCAATTTGTGTATGTACACGGCCTCTAGCATTGAACTACAAGGTACCTCTGTAGATGTAGAAGAATTGCAGTGATTTCAACCATCCAGTCTCTCAGCTGCAAATCCTCACACACAAGTATGTACTCAACATACCACCATAATGCAAGAGGCCCTAATACAAATCAATTTGGAGGGACTATGTAGGGAGAGGTAGAGGTGCCGCTAACTAATACAGTTGTTCTGTTTGTTCGGCTACCACAGCACGACTGCCACATATACATGTAAGGTACGTGTAGGCTCTGAAAAGTCACATCTCGATCTACCTCTACGGTACATCGACTCGTATTGCTCGCTCACCAGAGATAAGTTTCGTGTAACAGAAGATAGCTGCCTAGTACCGTGTCCTCCCCTCTCGCTTTTTCTTTCTTCCCGACCTGTTGGAAGTCCGTGCCCTTGCCGCGCACTCACTGCCCCAGCTTCCGTCAACAGCACTCCTCGTGCCTTCCAACTTGAGAAAGTATTCTTAGGTAGGTTGCCCTCGTTTCTTTTAGGGTTTTCCCCTCCACCCTTTTCGTCAGGCGCCCACAAAATCAGGACCTTTTCTTCCCCCCTCGTCGCCTTTCCACCCTCGCCACTTCCTCTCTATTTTACCTCACCAGTATCTCCGTTCTCTCCCACAAGAGTTCACCACAAGAGTCTTACTTTCCTCACTCCATCCACGGAATCCTTCTCTACTTCCCACGCAGTCATCTTCACTCTCATCCTCATCACGAGAGTCATACCTTGCTCACGCCACTCTCGCGTTCACTCAACGTTTGCTCGCTTTCACGCAAATATTGCAAACCATCAAGCAGAGTAAGGTGATAGCCACGTCAGCGACGACCACACACTTTCACACACATCCACACAGCTCGTGAGTAACTTTCCTTCTTTTTTAAAACACCCTCAACCCCCTGTCTCGCGTGTTCTATATCTTCGCGAGGCACCGCATCTACCGCCGCGCGTCTCTTTTACCCCGTCGTATAGTATATACCTTTTGTCGCAATGTCTCACCTCGTCGTCAAGAGACGTACATGTTTCTGACACGCGAAATTGACATCACAGTACTTCGCGTCCTTCCAGACCATCAAGCAGAGTGAGGTGATTGCAAAGTCATCGACAGCGACACCAAAATATAAGTAACTTCCCCCTCATAAAACACCCTCAGCTCGTGCCTGTCTTGCGCTCGACATGTTTGCGAGAAGCACATTCACGTTCCATACTTTCCATACTATCGTATATATATCACTTCTCAATGAATCTCACCTTACCCTCAATATGCCACGCTTCTGACACTCAAAACATCACAGTTCCTGCATCATTCATCGCTCGGTCAACAGTTCCAAGTTTGTCAAAAAATGGACAGGTTGACCCAGAAGGAGCTCGACTGTCTCCTCGCGCTCCGCGAGATGAAACTCGCTGGTCAAAGTCAAACCGCGACGGCTCCAGGTACCGACAACCACGCCGACCAAGGTGATAGCAACCAACCCCACCACATGGCAGATAAAGAAGCCATCCAACCCATAGCTCACCAGGGGGATCACGACCGCAGCCAGCCTGGCAGCAACACCAGCTCGACCCCGTCTGCTGCTACGTCCCAGACCAAGACCAAAGCCACCAAGACCGAATCCAACCAGGTCAAATGGAAAGTACCCCAGTGGATCATCGACGAACAAAACTCTACTGCGGATTTCTTCCTCCGCATGTACGAGGTAAATCTCTTTCAACAATCCAAAAAGCGCCTTTGCCCCACTTGCCGTCGACCGCGGTACAAAGGACGGGACCGTTCCGGAGAGGAGGAGGAGGAGGCAGAGGAGGAGGAAGGGTTGAATGGTCGGGATTGTTATGGGTCATGGCAGATGTATTTGTGGTGGTGGATCAACTTTGGGTCTGATGAAGACGACTGGGAGTAGGGGCGTTCACGGTCTTTGACCCAACTCGCGACATGGGTACCTCTATCGTACGTATCACGCTTCCGCTCATTGTATCCATTCCGACCAGTTACTAATCTTGTTTTTCAGGTTGCCAAGCAGAACCCAGAGTATCGCATCGTCTCTTACGATGAGCAGAAGACTGGGGCTCGACACTATAGTAGCGACCTGGCTGTTCTTGTCCTTTGCCCGAGGCGGCGACTCGATTGAGCTTTTTTGGGGCTCGGGTCAGTGCTGCGGAGGGAGTCCGAGGGATGATGAGGACCCATGCTCGACTGGAGTTGCCGATGAATCCGTTTTGGGCCAGGTTGCCCTTCCCACACCCAAAGTAACCTCACAACAAAGCAAGGGGCGAATCTCCCGTCTGCGGCCGAGGTCGTCGTCGTCGTGTGCCCCCCTCACGGCATCCAGCTCTGACCAAAAGAAGGCGTTTGTTTGGTACCTTCCTTTGATCACTCCGGGCGATGAGTCCGACGAGGACGATGAGAACGAGGAGGAGCGTCTCAATGAGATGATTGGTGCCGATGCTCCCAAGTGTTTCCAGCTGTTACTGTATGATAAGGATAACACTAACTTTTAATACAGTCCGACCACAAACGAGGAACTTGCTGCTTGGATCGCTGAGCGTAGGGCTAACTTCCCATCAAAGGCCAAAATTGAAGCCAAGAGAGCTGCTGGCCCACCGATGGACTCGTTGCGAGGGAGTTGGCGGCCGGTGCGATGACAAGGTTGCTGACGAACTCCAGCGAGCAGTTTCCTCTGTTGCTACACCTCCAGGATCCCAACTGGATAGCATACCTAGCATGCCCGGTCCGGTCCGTGTTGCGAGATCGAGATTCGTCCATTACCGTCACCCGTCCATGATCCCAGGGAACGCCTACCTCTACCACGCAGGTATCCGTTTCTCCTTCGTGCAGCTCCAAACTGAACATCCAAGCCATGGCTTACAACTACGGCCCGCCTATGTCCCCCGCCGGGACCGGCGCCGCCCAACAACCCGCCTGCTGGCTACCCCGCCACCTATGGCCAGTCCCCTTATCAGCAGCAGCAGCCACAGCCGGCTGCTCCCCAGCGCGGCGGTTATAGTGGACGAGGCCGTGGTTCTACCCACGTAAAGGAAGCAACTGTTAGTAGAACTTCCCTAACTTAAAGGGGCTCAGATCGTGGCGGTTATCACTCGTCATCTTAATGATTTGGACAAACACTACACATCGCAGAAGCACCAAAATGCACTCAATGGTACCTTATTGTCCCCAACAAGGTAGAAAGTGAAAATAACGTGAAGGTGTCACTTACCGCCGGGTTGTCGTGGCGGTTATCACTCGTCGTCGCATTCCTATGCATATGGCCAACAACCCTCATCGTACGGACAACAGCCGCCCCCGGCAAGCCCATACCCTCCTCACCAGCCACAGCCCGGAGGGAGTCCGAGGGATGATGGAGACCCATGCTCGCGTTGCCAACGGATCCGTGTTGGGCCAGGTTGCCGATGACAAGGCGACAATGGGTATCTGGGCAGCATGGCTTTGTGGCGGCTTGCTTGCTCACTAAAGTGCCAAAAATGCAACAAGCAACCGAGCCAAAGCCATGCTGCCCTGTCCGATACCTGCTCTAAGCGGGTGGTTACCGACCGGAAAAGCATGAGTTGGTTTGGGCGTGGGGGTTTGATAGATTAGAGGTACCTTCTAGGGAATGGGGGAAGTCGAAGTAAGCCGGGCGAGTGGTCGTAAGAATAAACCGAACATGGACAGTCCAATACCGCTCTCTTTGGTTATTATAGAGTAGCTAGGTATCCATTGAGAACAATCTGGGGCATGTGCCCTCAAGAGCGACATAGAGCTCTCACTGAAGACGGAGCATCCCATACCTCAAAAGACAGGATTTAGGTAGAAGACGCAATAAAATGTCACACAGTTCTGGAAAACCAGTGGGTAGATGATGATCATGATGATGATGTTTGATCCCGGCCAGATGCAGTGAGCTTTGCAAAACTTGAAAAAACTGGAGGGCATGCAGGTACCGGTACTGGTCACCTTCACGATGCATACAGCAGGCACGTAGGCAGTAAGGTACCTTACCTCCTTCCACCCACGTTGAATTTACCGTTCTCCTCCTCGATGTTTAATGAAGAACCCCAGAAGTGGTGAAGTTGCTAGCTGTTTGGCTGGCCAAAGGAGGCACATCCAGACCAGCACCTTCCCGCATTTCTTCCATCTTCCCATCTTTCCCAATCACTATCACTGTTCGATACCCCCCATCGCTCTTTTCCCATTTTCCATTTTCCATTTTCCATTTCCCATTTCCCCATCCTCACACCTCTCCCCTTCCCCATTTCCCCATCCTTCCCCATGTGCATTCCACCTTCCCCCCTCACTTACTCCTCCCCCTCCCAAAACACCGCATCCCAACTCTCATCCTTCTTCCCTGGTTCCCCCTCTCCCCCTTTCACACAAGGCAAACAAGCCATGCCGACATCACCGACCAGACAAGGCGCGTTGAGCTGGCGATAACGCAGGTAGGAACCCCAGCATGCTCGACCCATGCGCATAGATGGGTCGGCGTAGTGGTAGGGGTGGATGTGGAGGCACCAGTATGTTCCTGTTCCGAGGCCTGTGGCTGCTGTTGCTGGGTGGGCTTCTGGGCGAGTAGTGGAGGGGGAGGAGGAAGAGGTATCCGGGAACGTGGAATTGATTGCTTGGTGGGTGGTCGTAAATCGGAATGCCGGTTTCCAGATACATTGTCCCTGACACCCAGTAGTCAGGTTGGTTGATTTGCAGATTGGATCTTCTTCCACTACCACTACCGTAGCCTCCGCTTCGGTGGTCCATGTCATGTCCGCCCCTAACTGACCTTTTTTTGGCTTGTCTCGAGTGACGTTCTCTTGCTCTTGTGCTGTGCTTTGTTCCCACCTCCTGGCTGCTGGTTCCTCTGTTTCTGCGGCTCTTCCCAGTCTCGATCCAGATCCAGTCGTCGGCTGAGCGGGAGCCAAAGAACACCCCCCACAACCCACCACTACTCCCACCCCCGTCGCCAAAAAGATGCCCGTCGGCCCCCCAGCAGGGTGGACAACCCATGTATTCTCCGTCGTTACCACGAAGCTCGTTACTGTTGTTTCTTCCTCTTTCCCTTCTTCCTCGCCATCCTCCTCCATGTCCCCTTCCCCCTTTAACCCCGTGCCCCTGCCCTCCAAATACCGCCTCCTCTCAACCCAAGTAACGCTACTAACCACCTCCTCCAAGACTGTCGTCGACCATGGTGACGACCATGTTAAACCAAGATCATTCCCCAAAGAAGGAAAAGCAGGCCAAGGCTCATAAGTGGTAACCGTCATGGTAGTAATAAGAGACAAAATGTGCGGAGAGATGTGCAAGACGGGAGAGACGGTTGTTAGAGTTGTTGAGGAGATCTTGGTTACTGTGTAAGTAGTCGCTGTCGTAGTTGGTGTTGGTGACGGTGGTATTTGTGTTGGCGTTGGTGCAGCATGTGCATTAGGGGGGATATCCGCGGCGACGGTAAAGGTGGGGATGGCATGGACGGGTGAGGCGAAGAGGATTGCTGTTATTGTTACGAGGATGTTGATGATGGAGAGATACCGCTGGCGGATATGGCGATGTTGTTGTTTGTGAGGCATCATGATGATGTTTGGTTTTCAAGTGTTTGAACGGAAGTGTCTTGGTCAAACTTGTGGGTCGAAAGGAGAGAATAAGGTACCTTTATGGATCTGTCGAGAAGGTTTCCATTTCATACCTCTACATAGGAAGGAAGTGAGCGTTAGTTACAGTAGCAGTTGAAGCGATTAAACCCGAACGTTCAAAAGTTGTAGCGAACCCTGGAGAGTATCATTCCGCTTTCCTGGAAATGGTCTGTCATGTTGGGTACGCCCCGTTGTGTCACCCTTCTTATCCTATTTAACCGGAGGATAATTGACCACCTTATTACTATCATCGTCATCTGAGGTGTGAACTTAATCAGGCCGAAGATAGCCAGATGTTCTCGTAATTTTACCTACTCTTGCGATAATGTTATTGCATTGCTGACAGCCAGCTTTTCCTCCAGCCCAGATCAACGTTGAACCCGATCGCATCGAAATATAGGGGAGTCCTCTATGACCAAGCAGAACAGGGCAGTGGCGAGAATTGACACTTGTTCATGGGAAAGAGGGAAAAGGTTATTGATCCAACGAGAGAAGACCATCATTTTATTCATTTCGTGTCACCATATTGTGACGTGACGCATCTCAAGTCAGCGAGTGTTTCCCATCTTGTGCCCATTCCCGTGCCCATGCACATGCCAATCCTCAAGTGGGGCCCCTTCCTTTGCAAATACTTCCTAGAACACCTTCCCATAGCGCTTTAAATATACCAGCGAGCGTAAATATCCAAGAAACGATAAAACCTGTGGCACCCGCCACTCGACCATGGCCAAATGTTTTTAAAAGTCAAATCCTAACGAGAGAACGCCATTCCATATGTCTCTTGACCACATTTTCCCCTATGCTCTTTGACCCCATCCTCTTACCCCAAAGCCCCTATGATCCGATGCCCCTGTACCTTCAGCCAAATCAAACTCCTAACCGTCTTCCGTTGTCTCTCCTTTACCCCCCGTCCCCTTGAATGCTTTTTTATGTTTTGTGCTTCCCCTTGTACCCAGCTCCTCTGTCTTCTGGGGAGGCTGTTCTGTTTCTGTGTATCCGTCTGCTTAGATGTAGTGCAAGTGTATGCTTGTAATTTCCTGATCCAACCAAGTTTCGCCATCGCCCTTGCATACATGTTAGTAATTCCCTTACAACACCTTTCCATGCCATCTTTCTGAAGTACCAAATTGCCATGAACGAGAAATCGGATGTAAGAAGCCAAAAAATGCCCTATTCACTCCACGCTTAAGCGAATGACAAAAGGAAAATACATGACCCAGTATCCTGAATTCCGTAACACCAACCGACATGATAAGAGCTGAAATAGGGGGGGAAAATTCAAAGAAAAAAGACGATGAAAACGAGGACAATCCGAAAGGAATCAAGCGGCATGTGGTTTGTTAGTATATGAAAGCAAGATCTTAGCAACCTTGCTGCCTGAACCATGAGTCTTGGGAATCCAACTCTCGTACGACCCAAAGGGTTTAAGCAGGGATAAAATCCAAGCCCAAGCCCTGAGCAATACGAGGCCAGTCCCATACTGCCGCCCAATCACCACTCTCCATGAGCTGCCACACATGCTCCAAAACTTCCAAGGTGCGGTCGGCGTTTCTAAGGCCAGTGTATCCCTTGACAGTTCTGACAGCAGCCCGAACCCGATCCTGGTGGGTAGGCGTGAAGCATGCCGTACCGATTATAAAGCATGGGAGGAGGAGCAGGGTTTGACACGGGTCGCTAGGCTTGAAAGATTCCATGATGCCCAAAGACTCCTCGACAGCCAGGGTGATCCGCGGGTCATGCTGGAGTGGCTTGCGAGAGGGTGGCGGCGACTCGGCTCGCAAACATGAAGTGGTGCTTAGGAGAGGGACGGAGCCCATTCCATAGTCTGTACCCTCCAACTTGGGCGACGAAGTGCAGCTTGTTGATGCTGACATGGGCGGCGTAGTAACCCCAGGTGCAGCGGTTCGACTATGGCAGGCATTGGACAGGGTAGAAAACGGCAGGACAGATGACTTTGTTGGAGGCAAAGGAGCCGAAGGAGACGGCGGGTAGACGGACCGGACAAGGTAGATCCACATCATGTGCTTGTAGAGAAGTCCTACCCGGTCACGATGGTCTCCCCGGGGCCAGTGAGGGGTCCAGTCCTTGATAGCTGCATCGATCTCGGCCGCCCGATAAAGGCTGACGTAGTCAACAACTGGATCGACTTGAGTGACAATATTGTGCCGGATGGTGTTTCGTATCATGGTAATTTGAGGAAGGTACTCCAAGAGCCCATCGGCAACACCAAGGAGCCGGGGAGGGTGGATAGCTGGTGTGTGGTTGGCATCGTTGGGAACCGCACGGTGGTGAAGAGTTGAAACGGAATGAATCAGCTCATCAGCAAAGATATGGTACTGGAAGAACTCGGCAATGAACGAGAAGAAAGCCGAGTCTTCGGGCGGCGAGCTTGAAATGAGACTCTTGTATGCCGAGAGATGGAGCCGGTGCTCACCGCGCGGGTTGCCCTCAGCCAATGCCTCGAGGAGGAAGCAAAGCATCTGGCCGTAACGAGCAGATACGCGGAGTTTGTCTTGAGGGTTCATTGCATCGCTGACTTCCACGTCCTCGTAAAACTTTTGCCTGGCTTGATCGTGGTGATACACAGACCGTTCGTGGAGCTTGTGGGCCGATGTCGATGGGTTGTTCTTGAGGATATTGAGACCGTAGGGTGTGTCATAGTCGATATGTTTGCTGGCCAACGAAAGGATGGAGTGCATGAGGCCTTGATGCTTGACTGCAATTGGCACCATCATGTCCTTGAAGGCATTCTTGTGTTCTCCCTCAACGGTCAACACCGTGCTAAGATGCTCGTTATAATGCTTCCAGAAGATCCTATCCTCGACCGTCTCGAGCCCGTGGAACAGTGGCTGCATTGTAATAGACGGCAAACTGTGGGACTTGAGGCGTTCTGCATGCATGGGCATGTTAGACTGTCCTACCACGAGTGTATTCCCAGGGCTGCTGTGCTTACCCTCCTCGGCCCTCTCTCTGCCACTCTTCCAGATCTGTTTCTCGGGGTAACCCTCACAAACCACTGCATTCTTTTCGCAGTTCATGCCTATACGGTATTAGAACGGAACGACAGCTGATTGGGATTGAACGTCTACTTACACCGTGGCTTTGCCTCGTCACACTTCTTCTTGCGCTTCCGACAAGTGAGGCAGCCTGTCTTGGATCGGCCCTTTGTGACCTTGTTCGCAGGGACAACCGGCGCAATTGGGTGCTTGCGGGGCCGACCTCGGGGTCGCTTCGCCTTTGGCTGATCTAGCATCGAACCGTCACTGTTTGGAAGTGCATCTGTTGGAGCCTCCTTGATATGGTCCATGCAGAAGTCGTCATCGTCCAATGGCTCCAGTTTTGGCAATGGCAGCATGTTATCGTCCGAGTCCGGGTCCCACGACAGCTCATGGTGGTGACCGTGGCCGTGGCCAGCACTGCCATGGTGACTGTCGAGTCCCATCTCCCAGTGCCCGCTAGAAGATAGAGAAGCCGTCGAGTGGGTCAAATCAGGCGAGGCCGAGGCAGAAGCGGAGGAGGAAGAAGAGCAACAAGAATTTCCTGATTGATCAGTGCCATGATAGGACGCGTCCATGCCATTGCTGATGGGTGAAAGCTGGCCAGTCTGAGCAAAGCTCATGGCCGAAGACATTGACGCAGAAGTTGAGGTTGACGAAAGCGAGGTGAACCAAGACGATGATTGAGGAAGACCCTGGATATCATCCGAATCCATGCTGTGGCTATCCGACCAGGCAAGGTCTCCGTCATCCGACGCGGCAGGAAGTGAAGAGTCCATAACTCGTCACTAACGAGACCATACCAAAGGGGTGAAAACAAGGGTGGGAGGTACTTGGAGGGTGGGAGGCGCCCCCAATGCTTTAAGCAGTTGCTGGAGACGAATGGCGTGAAACAAGGCTAGCCGATGAGCGGGTAGCCAAGAAAGGCCGAGATGATGAGGTGTGGAAGGGGGGGCTGAAGTGACAAAGTAGAGACCTTGTGGCCCGGCACTAGTCAACCTGGCCTTGAGCAAGATGGTCGATCAGTACACTGTCCGGAAATATTTCATGAAATGGGAAGGTCATGCATACAAGTTCAGCGTATCTCTACACAGTCAGAAATCGAGAAAGGAGGGGAATGGGGAGACGCCTCGGACCGGCGAGAAACAGTTGGTGGTGTAGATCAACGGCAGCGGGTCGATCTTGACCTGTCTTTCATACGTGTTGGTCCTTTGGAAACCGAAAACGAAAAGGGTCAGAGGGAGAGGTAATAAGGTGAGGCTAGATGACGGTGAGGAGAACGAGTAGGAGGGAGGGAATTCGTCTTGATCTGTCGACAAGGGGGTTGAAGATGTGTGTGACTGGTGATGAGAGACACTGGGGACATGAAGAACAGGGGGAGGCAAAAAGTGGTGGAGAGGGGGACGTCCTTATTTGCTTCCGATTCGACTTGTCGTGGTGCGCTGCAATGTACGGATCGGGTGGGTGTGGACAGATGTGGGTGTTTATCACTACCACCACCTCCTCCTTCAAGCTCTGATCCAACCGAAGAGACCCATGTCTTGTCTCCCAGTTGGTTGCCAATGCGCGGCCCTATTCCAGTCTGCCATTTGTGTAACCTCACCATCGTCCTAATCTCTGGGGAAGGGTTGAAGCGTAGCACTCGGCTTCTCCACAGTCTGGTGGTCTTGAGGCTATCTCTTTGATGTCCGACTTGGAGCACTTCAGCCTCAGAGCCCAAGCCAAGCAAGGGAATCCCTTTAACTGTGCTCTAGGCAGGCATCATAGAAAAAAAGAGAGATGGCCATGTGAGCCATGCCTACCTCCAGGTACACTAGTTAGCTCTAGTGCCATCTTGATCTTGGATAGCTTCCATGCTTTCGTCTAGTGTGGTGTTTTAGATCGCTTGACTTGGTAACGTAGTATGAGTGGAGGAGGACGCAGAAATGGGACGATTGATTG